TTGTGCAGCATGGTGTCAGCCATAGAAAAAGCTGAATCTGGATCTGAAAGAGGCAACAGACATTTGGACACAGTATCCAAGCCCAAACATCTCTCCACCTTGAACTGCAACAGCACAGCAGGATTCTAAATGCACCTTTTCAAAACATTTTCACTTTGGTAACTAATGCTGCCACTGGATTTTCAGTTCTGTTTTATCAATATTATTGTGTTTTCACCCTCCCTTTGTCTTATCATTTTAATTTGTATGCTGCTTTGAGACGGATTGTGACATGCAGCAAATAAACATATACCTCATTTTGGGGAAGGCAGTTCCAGAGATGAGGGTTGGTTGGAGAGGCTGGCAGGCAAAGTGTTAAGCACCCCTTCCTGCTCAAAATTTCAGCTTCCTTGCGCAGCTTTTCATTAAAAAGAAATGCTTCATTACACACATTTGCATGTAATGGTTAGTTTGCCCTAGAGTTCAGGAATCACAGTGTTTGAAGTGAGGATCACCATCAGCCGTTCTATATGGAGGTACGCTTTGTCACAGGACACCGCAGAGCAGGTGTGCAGGTGTGGACTTGTCACATATGATGAGCAAGCTTCTCTCTCTTTCACTGCCCATGCCAGGAGGCCCTGTGTGGCAGCAGCAGCATCCCTCAGTGGGTACACACGAAACCAAACGTGTTTCTATACACATGCATGGAGAAAGAGTGATAGCGGTTCAGTGGGGGCTGGGGGATTTTGTTAGAAGTAGGTCTGTGGACCCACAACCTCATCCCACCCCAAAGCTGCCTGTTAACTGCCTGATTCGAAGCCTGTGCTGGGGGGGGGGGAGAGGTGGGGGCTGGCAGGAGAAGTAAGAGCTGCTTTGGGCCTTTTGAAAGCTTAATATTGGGGGTGCCAGATGGCGAGGCAATGATTTCACCCAGTCCAATCATGGTAGGAATGTTTAAGATCAGGCATTAAAGATGATGCAATGTGGTAGATTTTACTGCTTCTTTTTATTGCCCCATTAATTAACAGGATAATGTTTGCAGGAGGGGAATATGAGGCAATAAACTGCTTTTGTGGGTGATTAAACATTTGAATGAAACTAAGACATTTGATGGTGCAAAAGCAGTTTATTGAGAAGCACATTTCCACTACGTATTAAACAAAGACCAGATTGCAAAGGCGAGGTGGGACAAGGAGGACCAAATTCTGAACTACAGGCAGTTTTAGCACTTTCTGGACAAGCAATAAGGGAACAGATTATTTTATATATGAATTTACTATCAATCACATGGTATATGCAAGTAATAGGAGATGGGAAGGATCATATAAGCACTCCATAAACAAATCAAGAGCGAATGCTTAATAAAGCCCGGACATGGTCAAACTGCTGTGTAGGCTTTGTGCCAGCAAATCAGGATGAATGCTCAATAAACAGATCCAGTGGAGCCCAAAGATAAGAAGAAACCACCGTTTAGGTAATTTAAACTTGCAGAACGAAACTGAAAGTTGCCATTGACTTTAGCTCAATAGGATTCCCCCCCCCCATTACATACAGTACATTGAAATTTACATTTTAGAGTTGCAACCAGAATTTAATGTCTAAATTTGAAAGTCACCCTGCGAATCCAGGAGGTGTGTTGGGGCAGCTGTGGCTCCGCAATGGTGAAGATGAGGCAATTCTGCATCTGGTCGTGGCATTTTCTTCTTCATTTTAACACCACACATTCTAGAGTAGATTAGCGGCACCGAAACTATGTTCTCACTTGCCATTAGATGTGCTTTAAAGTGTGGGCAAATAACAAGCAATTCAGGATATGTTTTCAGTGCTTTGTATAGCTCTATACTACATATGACTTCATAGGTGCCAGGCAAGTTCTAATGGAAATAAATGCATCAAATCTTGGAGAGAAAAGAGCCTTGGTCCATATACAAGTACGTATAAATAATAATAAATTTCAGATATATCTTTTAAAAATCTGTAATTATTTCAGGAATTACCGGTAAATACTGCTGCTTCAAGTATTCTATTTTTACTACCTATATTAATTACAATTCTTTATCCGAATATACTATATTAAACTTTACGATTGCAATACTAAGTTTATTTATGCCAACATTTTATACAGTGCTAATACTGTAGTATTGATATGGCATCCATAATTAATCTATATCCTACTATCTTAAAATTTTTTGGACAAAAAATACCTCAATTCAATTTTTTCTTTTGGCAATCTCACCAAATATATCTAAATTTGGCCCGTCTTGCCCATTTTGGTGCATGGCTGAGCAAGAGAGGTGAGCAGAGCCTTTCTGTGGTAGGGTAGAAGATTTCCTCCTCTTTCAAATATTCTGATTATTTCTACTTTTAGTTAAGCATTTTTATTTATTTACTTGATTACGGAAGAGGACAGCTGCCCCCCTCCCCCCGGCTACGCCCAGGAGCCCAACCCTACACTTAGTTACACAGATGAAAGTCCAGCTGTGGTCAGCAGGCTACAAGCTCAGACACTGTAAAGACTAACGTATTTAGCGTGACAAGCTTTTATGAACTCTGTCCAGAACTCTTGATGAACCTATGACTATTTCTTGCATTTGCTTGGCCTTTGGGCCCTACTGTGTAAAAAACTGTTTCTTACCCCCCCCCCCACATCTGCCCCCTCAGTCTGCCCCCATCTTTCTAGATCATGTCATGCTTTTTACCAGTGGTTGGTGAGTGTAGGCACACGATTCCCTTTCATTTCTACTGCAACATACTACTCAGGATACACTTCAGGAATCACATTTCTGTCTACCCTATTTGAACTCACAACACAAAAAACCCACTACCATTTTGGTTCTAGTCTTTTCTAACTGCAGACACAGGTTTTGAAAAGACTGCCTTTTGTTTTCCTTCAGAGAATAGTAAAAGTGTGTGATGTTTTTCCTTGCTGGAAGCATTTGAGGAACAGACAAACTCTTGTGAACAATTTAAAAGCTGCCGCAGTTCAACTGAACTGCAATATTTAACCCATTTTATTCTCTGCCTATCACCAACATTAAAGGCAAAGCTTTGATTCCACATTTTATGATTCCATTTGTTATTGTCTTAAGCCTGATTGCAGCCTGTGTGTTTTCAGCAGATTATCTCTGGTAATCACTTTCTTTTCTGCAATGGAAATGATCTGAAAATTGCTCTTTGATAACCAGGGATGGGTTCATTGAGGCCACGATGCAAAAAGCAAGAATTGTGCAATAATCATTTGTAAAGAGAAACCGTTATCAAAGGAACTGCGGGGGACACCTCCAGGACTTCTCGGGCGAGTTGTTGAAATTTGAAACATATATTTCTCACACAGGAATTTCACTGTAAACTCTTCTGAATAATGCATGAGACTTGATTTAACGTCACAGTTAATCCTGGCATTTGCCGCCGGAAAATAGTACTCTTAGGGTACATCAGATTGGGGGTAGGGGAGAGGAGACGGGAGCAGCGCAGAACTAAAATCTGTTAAGATAGTTGTGGCAGAATTCCAAGCAGCTTGATAGGAAGATGCTTTTTGTTGGTAAGAACCTTCCTTAATGAAGCACAATAACCAGCTGCTCCCATAACAGGCAGGAGGAAAGGGCAATGCCCACTCAAGTCTGGCTTTGCCGCTGACTGCACCAACTCAACAAGGTTCTGCTGCCTCCCTGACTAGAGACTGTGTATAAAAAACACAATTGTCACATATTTTTAAGAGTGACTATTGATGTTTTGCATCCACAGAGTACTTTTCTGCTTTCAAAGCATGTGTACCTTCACAACAGTCTTGCAATTGTTTATTGTGCTGCAACACATCCATTGGTGCACCACTTCTGGCCACAATACAGTATGTATTTTTTTTTCATGATGCAGGTTGGGAGCTAAGGGTAACAGACACGGCCTTGCCTGAGCTCTGCAAAGGCGTTTGTGGTTGAAATGAGACTGCCTATCCACAAGCAGGACAGACTTCAGCTCTTGCAAAGAGACTTCCCCTGGTGAATCCTCACTTCCTTGTTCCATGCGTCTCCCCCCAACATGCTCTAGTGGGTTGGGGGACCCCCTGGAGCAGATTGGGGGGGCATGTTGGAGTGCAAGGGGAAGCAGACATTCCACCGTGTGAGCGGAAATTGGCTCAGGTGTTGTTGGATATCACACATGGAGCTTAAATGCACTAGGGACTTCCTGCTACCCCGGAGTAATGCTGCTGCTTTGATTATGTTGAATTTAATTTATTCACATTTTGATCCTGATCTATTCCTTTGCTGTCTGCTACGTATTAATTCATGAAAGCTTTGTTAGTTAAGCAAACATGAATATTTTTTCATTATAGTCATTCTTAATTTATGAAAGGAACTGCTTTTTTATCTATTCAGAAGAAGTTTAACTGGAATGTTTGCTAGCTAGTTAACGTGGATATACATTTACAGAATGTATCTAATCAGCTGAGTATATTTATGTGTTGTTTTGCTGCATCTACATGTTGATTTGTTTTACTCTTTCCATGAGCCGCTTTGAGCATATTTATGGGAAAGCAGCAAATAAAGACACAAATATAATTAATAGCAAACAGGCACCTGATTCCTGCACTGCTTTGCTGAAATCAGAAGCTCTTGGCCACACGGAAGACCCTGCAGCAGATGTCTCCTATGCCAGCATTACTCAGGTCTTGAGCAATGAGTGCAAGCCATAGCATGGGCTTTTCACATCACCCAATAGCATGGGAAAGAATCACATTGCAAATTGCTTTTTCCACCTTACAAACATGAGCAATGGGCCCTAAATTACCCCTAAAGATGTAAAATGTGAAGTGGCCCTGTATTTACAGCTGATGAAGTAAAAGGATGAAGTTCATCTTAATCAGAAGTTCTACTTATTCCTGCTCCCACCTCCTACATGGGATCAAATTGGAGCAATTCTCAAAGAACAAATCTGATGTCTTCTTGTAAAAGATTTAGAAATGGTAGGAAAATCTAATACATCACTGTAACTTTGCAAAGACAAAACGCAAACCCTCACAAAGATTAATGTGTGGTCAAAGTATATCAATCAATTCTTTATTGCAGTCCAAAGACTCACCAATAGATTCCAGTACATAAAAAGACATAAAACATACTTACTACTTGGACATCAGATAAAACTAAGCTTCTTTCAGACCTTTAACTAATACAAAGTGCTCTCTGAGTTCAAAGCATGCCTTAGAATGAAACTTGGCAACTGCCAAAGTTACACTGGGAAACCTACCCTCTAATAGGTACCTAACATAAAATTGTGCAGGTCTTCCTGGAAGGTTTGCAATTAAAGGAATTACCTTTTGTTGTCGGACCTGCTTGTATAGTCTGCAGGACAGTAGAATATGCTGCATAGATTCTACTTCCTGATTTGTACAGAGGCATAATCTAGCAGAGTAAGGAAATACCTGCAAATCTGCCTTGGAGCATTTTAGAAGGAAACACATTCAGTCTGGCCTTGGTAAAAAGTCTGTGGTAGTTGACCACAGTCAAGTTCTTTAGATATTCAGCTATGTGAAATGTCCCGACATACTGTAAACTCACAGCTCTTGGTGAGCAGGATGAGTATGAACAGGTCTGCAGATCACCACAGGCAATAGCCCACAGTCTTTGTTTTAGTGATTTAAAGGCTATGTTGAAGCCCAAGTGTTCAAGAAGAGATGGGGACAGCCCAATTAAGGAAGCTTTTTGGGCGTTGCACTTGGACCAGAAACTAACATACTCATTCTGAGCTAGATGTTGTAGTAGTCCTGTCCCCAATATGAAAACACTGACTTTAAGCCAGTATCTGAAGGCTGCCCACCAGGCCCAGGTCAGTAGCAGGCATTCCCAAGTTTCCAAGAAAATGACTGAGGTAGGCACATCTGGGGATCTGGAGGACAGCCCTCAAGAATTTAGCCTGGAGATCATCCAACTCAGATGTTAATCCTCCACTCCAGATATTAGAGGCAAATAGTAATTCGGCAGCTGTCCTGAATATTTTGATGGCAGGTGGAATATACTGGCCCCCTTTAGTAAAGTGGCCGATTGACTAACTTGTGCTTTCTGGAGGGCTGCAGATCTATGGGTGATCCATGTCGTTATGTGATGGAATGTCAGCCCCAGGTATTGGAAGCTTCCAATCTGATTGAGGGCGTGCTCATCTAAGTGACCATTTGCAGTGGGAAAGATTCTTTTCAAAAACCAAAATTTTTTATTTCCCAAAACTAATTTTTAGGCCATTCTGTACACAATAAGGCATGAACCTCTTTAGCTGATAATTTAGACCTGGTCTGGAACATGAGAGAATGGCTGCGTTGTCAGCATACAATAATAATGGAGTCCTCCTGACCCCAAGTTTGGGCGGGTGGCCAAGTGGCTCCTCTAGCACATCCTCTAGGTCATTTATAAATATATTAAACAATGAGGGTGCCAGGATACATTTATAATTATCTAGTGGCAGCTAAAATAGCAGTATGTACTTGTTGCTAGGCGCCAGTCAGTAGGCTGTCAGCCATCAGTTTCTGAGCCACATGATGAGAGATCAACTGAATTTAGATTTAGACCAAATCCCTCTTTCTAGAGGAGGACTCATGTGACTCCCCTCTATCAACCCATGCCCATGAACCCTTGGAGGAGGGATTTCACATACAATAAACACTTACTCTACAAAAATCCATATATACACAGTTTATACAGCATTGCATTCATAAATGTATAAAGTGTTCCTGAGAAAACATAGCAAAAAATATTACTTATTAAATTTATATAATGTCCTTCATCCAAAGATCACAGGTGGGCTACAGTATAAGTAATTTAAGACTGTTTGTAACTTAAATGCTTTAAAAGGCAGACATTACTAAAGGAATGAAATCTAAATCAACTGTTACACCTTGCTTCCTCAAAATTACTTTCTAAGATTTTTTTGTACTGATAGCTTTGTAGATGTTACACAGTCATGTGCTTTGAAAAATTTAAGAGAAATTTGATTGGGAGCACAGCTCAGTGGAAAAGTGCCCTGTCTTGTATGTTAGTGGTCCCAGATCCAATCTCTGGCATCAACCAAGGGAACAGAGGTAGCAGGTTTGGAAGACACACACACCTGGCAGCTGGAGTTGCCAGTAGGAATAAGCCTATTTTGTACAAGGCTTCTTCATGCGAAGCAATTCATTTCTGTATGCACTGAAAATAGACTCAGTGGCGTCTAGCGCAGAATAATGAGTGTCCTTCCTAGGGGTGCATCCCAGTACTGTATGTGTTTTCAAGGTAACTGCTCACCAGGTACACTTCGAGAACTGAAGATTGTGGGGTAGAAATCTATCAGTAACCCAATGAAAATATTTATCGGTACCAGAGTACTGAAAGAAGGAGTGCCTTTGGGTGACCAGATTAAATTCAGGCCGAAGACGCAAGCCAGGTTGGAACCAGTCATTTTGTTGAAAATGCTTTCCTGTGACACCTGGAAAGAGGCAACACATGCAGATCATTAAGCACAAGACACACAGAGGACCAAACTGCTAACTATTCAGAACTGGAGGCACAGCTGCCTCCCGTTTAAAGATTTCATTCTTCCCTCTGCTTCCCTGCCAAGAAGTCTGCCCAGCCTCTGAACTGGCTTGCAATAAAATAAGATAAACAACTGACGCAGATTTGTTTACTAGCAGGTATAGGAATTGGTATACATAACTCTAACCGTTATCTGAGTCCAACTCTGAACAGCAAAGTAGAGATGGAGTTAGGGGAGTTTGACCGGTTTGCCTGCCCAAGAGGGCAAATGCAGGGAGCACCACAACAATGACAAACAATGGAAGGCGGGGGGGGGGGCACTGAATTTTGATGTTGCCTGGGATGCTGCTGAAATTTGGAAACCCAAAGCACCACAGCCAGGATACGAACTCCGCAGATTAAGCCAAACCCATTTCCAGCCCTGCCCACCTGCCCAAGGCCAGTCCCGAGAAGGTTGGCTCATGGAGCCCAAAAGGTTCCTTAGACTATGGGGATAGAGAGCAGGGTCGGCCGACGTGAGCCAGGTCCAGGGGTGTGTACAGCAAGCAGAATCCACATTCACAAGGGTGTAAGTTGCTGAAATGCCAAGGAGCTCTTTGGGTTCTCAAGAGACGAAGAGACATGTGGTGTTGTGTAAGACACCAGGGGAAGGCTCCTTCAGAAGCATCAAGCTGCCTCATCCCTTCTCCTCCTTGGGGGGCAGGGATGGAGGCCAGAGCCAGGCCCTCAGCTTTCTCCTATCCCAGGGGATCTCAAAGTGGGGCTCCACGGACCACGAGTGGCCTGCTAGCTTTATTCAGGTAGTCTGCAGTGGCAATTCCCAGGGATGGGAGTCCCTGGGATAACTCAGTCAGTAGAGCTTAAGATTCTTAATCTCAGGGTCATGGGCTGAGCAAGAAGATTCCTGCACTGCAGAGGGCTGGACTAGATGACCTTGGTGGTAGCTTCCAACTCTGCCATTCTATGCTTCTATGCTGGTTATACTTTTATGTTGTCTGTTAAAAATTTAGTAAATTGTGGTGGTAGTGGATGTTTACTTTTCAGTGTGCCTGCCAATAAAATATGTTCATTACAAGCAAGATGTGCTTGTATCGATCTCATTTGTAGCCATGCTCACCAAGGTAAGAATGAGATTTATTAGTAGGCTCTAGGACTTGTGGGATGGGAGTTGTCTTTGGAGCAAGAGACACTCCTAAGTAGGTGAAATCCTTTTCTGAACTGAGACAGTGTGCAATGTTTCCATCATATATATCAGGAACATTCCGCCCCCCCCCCACCTGAGTCCACTGCAGGGGACTTGCAGTTTTTCATTTCAAACAGCTGTGTAAGAGAGGCTCCCTCTCTCTCAAGCCTTCCCACATGAGCACCTTCACAGAGTCCCTTTTGCCACCTCAGACTTCCCCAAGAGCCCTGCTTAAAACAATAATGCCCCCGGTGCTGGTGTGATGGCGTCCATAGCCATCCTTTGGCTTGAAATGTCTAACTTTATTGACCACCAATGTTGCTGGCCACAAGCTGAACTGCACAAAGCCGCCTGTTGTTTATGTCAACTGAAAATCTTCAGCTGCCCTCCCAGGATGTTCACACTACCTTGACCTTTCCAAATGTAAAGTGTTCCCTCAGACAGTGAAGATGAAAAAACAAGGATCAGCAAAAACTGCAGATCTGAGCACCAAAATCAACTCAAGTCTGCACTTTACATAATAAGGGACACTCAAAAATAATTCTATGTTCTGTTATCCAATTACCAGAGACATCACAGAGTACTTTTGCACACCTCATTAACACCTTGAGCGTTGAGAAGTGTGTTGAAACGGCATGTCTATTACTGGAACAAAAAGTCACTTAGATCCATAATGCTGAGGAGAGATATTTGTAGCTAAAATAATAGCAAATGAGGTGAGGATTTTCATAATAGCTTCTGGAGATTATATTAAGCAATGACAGATGAAGGTATCTGATGCATTCTGTAGTACTGTGTAAGCAGAAGTGGCTCTATTATAAGGGAAACTGAGGCAGAATGAAAGAATCACCTTGCTGCGTCACAGGGGCCACTTAGTCTAGTTTTATATATGTTTTATATATGTTGTGAGCCACCCAGAGTGGCTGGGGAAACCCAGCCAGATGGGCAAGGTATAAATAATAAAATTATTAGTAGTAGTAACCCATCTGCAACGTGGTCCAGGCACTTCTGCTTCTTAAAAAGCTGCGGCCTCTCTGGGCTCAACAAAAGCAGAGGCCATTACAGAATTTGGGCTGGCGTTCAATGTGATGAAGGAAGTGTGAATGCCAGCAAGACAACTGCCTTAGGAGGCAGGTTTTACTTATCATTACAGGCAACAGAGTGAGTGATGGATATTTTTGATCTATGGGGCACCAATATGTTTTCCGGAGCAGCTCTCACTTGGAATGAATGGTGGCTCTTCTCAGTGAGGCCTGCGCATTAGAGATTCCAGACAGACTGTGCTCCAGCTGATTAGCCTCCTCCCATTAACAACAGAGAGACAAACCCCTCAAAGCGATGTTAATATTATATCACATGCAGCTGAATAAATGTGTATAGAAATGGTGTGCATGCTCTGGGCAGCTGTGACGAACTGGAGCTTCACAGCCATGTGTATTTGCAGCAAAACTGTCCCTTGCTATGATCAACGTGTGGATGTCATTCTTTTTTGTATGTGAAAAGACTTCCCACACTGGAAAAAGTGGTCAGAGTGCAGCAGATTTAAAAGATAAGCACACATACTTCAATAGGTGCCACTGGAAATTGGATGGTTGCAGGTCTCCAGACTGCTGTTATTTTGTTATTTGGCTAGATATGGCTTTGAAGCTGGATTAAATACACGTTATAGTGGTCACCAGGAGGTTGCTGAAAATGAGAGCCACACAGTGAGTTAGTTTTCCACCCACCACTAGCAGGTGACTTGCTGTGCAGTTGGCCACTGTCCCATGGGAAGACAGCACACCCCTTTTGCCACCTGAAGCTTAGGTTTAAGGAGGAAATATCTTGCCCCAGAGACACTTTTCCTTGTGGCATCCTTGCAGCAACTTTAACATGCATTCCAGATCTCAGTCCAGATCTTCTGAACATACTTAACAGTAGAGAGTAAGTTAAGGCAAGGCAAGGTACACATGGCCATACTTTGCGTTGCATAATTTAGGATGCAGCATCCTTTGACAGACTTTATAGTTTTGTTTTCACAGTGGAAAAAAGTAATATTTATGTTCACACGTTTAAGGATCTAGCCTACAAATCAAGGGAAAGCTTTAAGAAGTAAATAAGAGAGGCTTGTAAATGCTTCTTTTAAGCGGTTCAGTGGATTATTTGATTTTATTTGGATTTACATGGCACTATGGGTTATTTATGAAAGGGGTTTATACTAAAGTTATCATTGGGGTCATTAGTCTGCTCTGACTTTTATTATTACTGGAGACAGCAGCAGTTTGTAACTGCTGTTTTGGCAATTAATGTTTCACAGCCTCCTTGCAATTTTTAGAATTAAAACCAGTTGTTGCACAACAGCTTCAGAATTAAACAGCAGCAATCATGAGGATTTAATTCCTACTCACCATATGGAGAAAGCATATAAGAAACTTCAGAACAGCATAATTTTGCTCAGGAAGTCCATGTACAATTTCTCTGCAGTTCATCACCCGTAAGCTACTTTCTACACCTGCAAGAGCACAGAATTTATTAGAACTAATGTTGATAAAGAGTCAAAGAGGTGCATTGCCAGAGAGGAACAGTATGTCTTTGTTTGATCCCAAATGATCTTATCTGTCAAGGCTTTTGTAAAGGAGGACAAAATGCACTTGCAGTTCCAGTTTACACCCTCTAATGAAACTGCCTGGGAACCCTTTGTCCAAACCCAAATCTCTTCCATATCCAAATTCAATCTAAACAAGACTGCACCACTTATCCATTAGCTAGTGGGAACCTGAGTTCTAATGTGATCTTACCAAAACACACGCAAACACAAGCTGCAACCCAGCACACCCCTCACCCTACTTCTCCACACAATGCAGAAGAGTCACAGGTTCACTTCATGCCAAGCAAGAGTGACAAATGACATTCTTTCCTCTAATCATTTGGCAGATGCAGAGCACTTGGCACCAAGGAGGGACCAGCTTCTAATTTCGTACCACCCTTTGCAGACGCTTCGAAACAGCAGGGATAGAGTTTGGTAATCTTTTGTAATATGGCGCCCTTTGTGAGGCCAAAATTTGGTGTCACCAAATGTCTCTTCTCCATTTTGTGCCCCCTTGGCTTAGCACCTGTGCAGGGAAAGCATTTGCACTGCTCTAAATCCACCACCGGAAACAGCAAAATATTCTTGCTTCTTCTCAGTGTCTGCACAGTCCAGTGTGAAATGGTTGACTCCTTGCCTGTATCAAGTTCCACAACACTTGAGGGAGGATCAGGGCTGACTATAAAGCCCAACCAAAATATGTGAACCCCTGCAATGGGAACTTTGATTTCACTTGTAGGCCTGCAAAGTCTTGAAAATTCTAGGTGTCTGTAAAAGAAAAGCATGTGTCTCTCATGGTTCATGTAGACAGATTTGAATACTGCATCGCATGTCAACTCTTCCACAGAAATCCATGGGACTTGCAAGTGGTCAGTTCTGGCAGTGTTTTTTGGACAGCAGAAATCACAGATAAATCAGAAGCACATTATTTATTATTATTACAGTGGTACCTCGGGTTACATACGCTTCAGGTTACAGACTCTGCTAACCCAGAAATAGTGCTTCAGGTTAAGAACTTTGCTTCAGGATGAGAACAGAAATCGTGCTCTGGCGGCGCAGCAGCAGCAGGAGGCCCCATTAGCTAAAGTGGTTCTTCAGGTTAAGAACAGTTTCAGGGTAAGAACGGACCTCAGGAACGAATTAAGTACTTAACCCGAGGTACCACTGTATATTATTATTATTATTATTATTATTATTATTATTATTATTATTATTATTTACTCACTGGTAATTCCAATGATTTGATCATAAGGTTCAAAGGTCAGTAAAGGCTCTGGGAGTTCCCTGAGTAAAGTCTTAAGTATGACAGCAGGAATATGGATATCTCCATAATCATCGAAATTAACAGATTTTCCTACGTTAAAAAAAAAGCCAAATTAGCAATATAGTTTTACAACCTATTTACAGCCTGTAGGCAGACCAACATTGCATTATGAAGATGTCTGCAAACATAACATGAAGGCTGGCAACATTAACCCTGCCCGGTGGGAATCTCTTGCCGAGGATCACAGCCCCTGAAGACAGTGAGTGATGTGTGACCAGAGGAAGAATGATCGCTGGGAGGAATGCAGAGAGAAGAAACCAGCTGCAATAAAACATGTCTCTCCTGTATTGGTCTCTACGGCCACAATAGGCGCTGTAACTCTCCAACCAATTGATTTCACCCCTTTCATGACATCAGGTAATTATTCAGTATTCAAAACATTTCAAATGCCTCCTGTTATTTCACAGGTTGTTGCTGCCTATCTTAATGTTAGGATGACATAATGCCCTTACTTCAACCAGTAGATTTGTCAGCTATAGCCTGGACCCACAGAACAGCTCTTCCCAATTCCCAAAGAGTCTTTTGATTTGTGTTTATGCAAAAGCAGCCCTCATGCACTTAAGAAACATAGAGGACCTTCAAATGGGTTTGTGATATGGAATGTAACTTTGCCATTCAAAGGCGGAGTGAGTCAAGATATAGAACTGCCTTATAGTCAGACAACTGATTCATCCAGAACAGTACTGTCTATTCCAGGGCTAGCCAGCATCTTGTTGGGCTACAACTGCCATCATCCCTGACCATTGGCCATGCTCACTCTTGCAGTCAAACATTTCGAATTAGCTAGTCTGTGAAGTAATCGTCCTCTTAAGTGACGATTCTAGGGACCGAGCCTGGGACTTCATGGATGCAAATCTTGTGCCCTAGCAAGAGGCTGCCTAAATCCAACTGAGTACACCCACTGTAATTCTTTTGAGCTTGGCTAAAAGTTTCAGTTGATTAACTAGCATGGACCAATTTCAATCGGTAAGGCTAAAAATTAAGATCCTGCTAGTTTATCTATTAATTGTTTATTATTATGGTTCTGGTAAAAGGTAAAGGTACCCCTGCCCGTACGGGTCAGTCGTGACCGACTCTAGGGTTGCGTGCTCATCTCGCTCAAGAGGCCGTGAGCCAGCGCCGTCCGAAGACACTTCCGGGTCACGTGGCCAGCGTGACAAAGCTGCTCTGGCGAGCCAGCGCAGCACACAGAACGCCGTTTACCTTCCTGCTATAAAGCGGTACCTATTTATCTACTTGCACTTAGGGGTGCTTTTGAACTGCTAGGTGGGCAGGAGCTGGGACCGAACGACGGGAGCTCACCCCGCCGCGGGGATTCGAACCGCTGACCATGCGATCAGCAAGTCCTAGGCACTGAGGTTTTACCCACAGCACCACCCACGTCTGTGGTTCTGGTAGGTTAGTGTAATAGTGAATGGGAAAAATAATTAAGGGTAGCCTTTACTCATAACAATGAGCTATAATTTATCATTAATTTATCATTTACTATACAAACACAATCTCAAATTTCTTTCAATTTCCCCAAAGGAATCCATATCTGGTAATATGCACATCTATTTAAATGTCATCAATTAAAAGGCAGATGATTAATCAACTACTCACTGAAGACAGCCTTACACAACATGACATTTCAGGTTACAAATCAGCTTATCATTAACCAATAGAGTAATAAGGAATCCATGCTCACCAACATAAACAATATTTTAAAAATCATTATTATCTTTTGATTATAGCAGATGAAAACTTACCCTGATTATAAAGTTTCTGGATCTCCTTAATACTTTGTATGCTAGCTGACCGTCTAAACAGTCCTTCTGCTTTGAGTCCTGTAAGGAGGTGGGGGTGGGGAAGCATTAATAGGATTCCTCATAAAATTGCTGTTCACAAACATCTTTCTGCTGGTTCAGATCCCTAAGTCTCCAGTGCAAGAGAAAGGGATGTCTGACTAAGTATGCTCACAGAGACAGGAGATGCACCCTGGTGGTGTTTCACGTGAGTACAGGAGTGTATTTTTCAGTTGCTCTGACTGCTGTCAGGAAGGGTCAGGTTTATTTATTATGACCTGGTTTTTTGGATATGTACCCTCCCAAGAAAGTTTGCAACATAATCACATAGCAACGATACCCTAAAATTCTGAATTCTAACAGTTAAAATGATGTTAAAAGATGGCAGCAAGAGATAAAACATTTGTTAAAACACAGCATCATAAAATTACTCAGCTGGATGAAAGAACTCTTTAAAGCTTTCCTAAAGGCCAAATATACAGGATCAAACCTATTTCCGGTGTGGTGGCGGCTGTGTTCTGCAAATGTGGGGTTGTCACGGAAAAGGCACCGTCCCTGGTACTCACTAATATGACAGCTCTCAATTGTTGTTGTTGTTTAGTCGTTTAGTCGTGTCCGACTCTTCGTGACCCCCTGGACCAGAGCACGCCAGGCACTTCTGTCCTCCGCTGCCTCCTGCAGTTTGATCAAACCCATGCTGGTAGCTTCAAGAACACCATCCATCCAACCATCTCATCCTCTGTCATCCCCTTCTCCTTGTGCCCTCCATCTTTCCCAACATCAGGGTCTCAATGGTGAACTACAAAGCAATGTCTCAGATGCTAATATTAAGGCAGGGTCATAAGGGTGAAGATGGTCCTTCAGAGAGGCTGCCCCAAACTTTAGGGTATTCATAGGATAATGCCAGTACCTTAAAATGAACCTGCAAGTGGGTCAGATTTAGCTGGGGAATTGTTGAATCGGCATGACATGCGCTGCCCACCAAAGCCTTGCTTACCTGGGTTGTGCAACTGCAACTTCCAGGTTCCAGTGAGATCCAATGGCACCATCTCTGCAGGGCCGTGGGTGCCAAGGCAGCCACAAAATTTTCAATGAGGGGGCCAGGCCTCCTCAATATTCCTCAGCTACATGGGCTCCAGTGGGCCCTGCCCTGGCTGCACCAGGCTCCCTCTACTGTGAGGAGGGCAGCCGTAGCAGGCCCCTCTGGGCCTTTTGGAGGGCACGCCAGGGCTCCTTCCAGTGTGTGACATCATGTGCAGCGTGCGTGACTTTGTGCGCACCAGGCACCCACAATATTGGGTGGAACCCGGCGCTCCTGGCAAGATCGCATAAGAGCCCCATGAGATCACATGGAGGCTTCAGTTTGATTGGGTGGGGCTGAAGTCCCGCCACAACCCAGAAGCTGTCATAGCTGTTTCTCCTCACTTCTGTGGTAGTGGCAGCAGTGGGCATGCCTGCAGAGGCACCCCTTCAATGTTGCAGTCTGATACAGCTGCCTCAGTCTGCTTCATGGATGGGATGGCCCTGACTGGGAGTTGTCTCCACATAGTTGGCTCATTGGGCTACTCTAAATGGGCATCTGAGTTGACCCCTAAATACAAGAGCGTTTCCATCGGTCCTTAAAAGATTGTGAACTGATTCTGATGAGCATGAGAAGATTCAGTTGCATGAAGAAGCCACTCACACAATCCATCTATTCATGTGAGCTGCGCAGCACTGGAACCATGAGCTTAGCAACATTGCGGCTCCACCATGCATCCTTTAAAAAGTAGAAATGGGAAGTGACTTTGTCACCAATACACAGCTTGTGTTGTTGTTGTTGTTGTTGTTGATGTTGTACAAATGAGTTCTCTTTCAGATTTCCTTGCTTGGGTCCAAGCTTTCTTCTTTCTCAGCTATCTGGAAAATGTGGCTTTATTCTTTTTCCTGTCCCAAATGACAACTTTCATTCTCATTCTCCAAATTTTGTTGTGGGCAGAATAGTTTGCCCTTATCTTCTACAGCCTAGACAAGTTTCACTTGGGATAGATTTTCGAGCAGTCAGTCCTTCGGTTCACGAGAGTTTATTTAACAGTTAATGCTCTTGTCTGTTGAAGATCTCCTTGTGTAAAGTGCTGCATAATAAATGTTTCCTTTTAGCAGGCTGGGTTTTTGTTTTGTTTTTCCCGGTATGCTTTAGTTTAAAGTGACTTGCAGCAAGCCTTAATTGAAGACATTAATCTGAATTACAGACAGCAGCTGTGCTTGTCTGGAACGGTTGTTTGAGACTCACATCTTTCTTACTTTAGCAGTGCCATAGCACCAAACCTTTGCCGGGTAGCCTTCCTGCCAGTCTTGAGGACAGAGCAACATTTAACTACAGCATAGAAATATGAAATAATGGTCTGACCTATTATTCATATCAGAGAGCGCATTAATCAGGCAGCCTGAGATGTGAGTGGATATCCCTTGGTCTTTTTGGAAGATAAATATACAAAATGGTTGATTGATTATCTGAACACGCGCTTATCTGGGTGTGGATTTTAGAGGTCTGTGTTCAAATTCCTGGCTAGACATACAGAATAGCCTTGGGCAGTTCAGTCTTCTGCCTTAGCATTATACGTATTCCAACAAACCCAAGGTAGCTGAAACTATCAACATAACTGTATGGAACAACCTTACATTTACAGAGCAAAATATCCTCTTGAATTATATACCCAGCACATGGAACCTTACAAAAGGACAATACGAGTGGACTCTCCTTACCACAGCAAAAAGACTGATACTGATGAATTGGAAAAATAAAAATGCAGCTCCCTTCTATGATTGGATTGAAGACTTATACAAACTCACAACATCTGAACAACTTGCATATAAACACAGACTTGCCATGGACAAATTCAATGATATTTTGAATCCATTCTTATAAATACTGTAATAGTTTAAGATCTGGTGAGGAACAATAACAACTTTGTAAAGTATACAGTTTTGGGTTCCCCCTTTATTTTCCCTTCTTCTTCTTCTACTTGTTGTTGTTTAGTCATGTCCGACTCTTCGTGACCCCATCGACCAGAGCACGCCCGGAACTCCTGTCTTCCACTGCCTCCCGCAGTTTGGTCAAACTCAAGTTGGTAGCTTCGTCCACATGGGTGGTATTTCTTTTTGTCTCATCATGTTTCGTGCACATATAATTATGTACTTTTTGAACTTTCAATAAAGAAGTCTGGGGGGGGAAAAAACAAAAAACCCCTACAAACACACCCAAACATTGAAATCCTGTTGAGCTCAGTGCAATTTACTCTCAACTGCATGTTCTAGTTCCAGCTCTGGATATGGACAGAATACTGGCATAAGTTCTCACACATTCAAAGATAATAAGGAATTTTCAAAATGTACATTTAAGAATGTAATTTCAAATGCTTACCTCCCCCCCCCCAATCCTTGACACAGGAAAGGAAAATAAATATTTGCGTATATGCAATCCAAATCTAGCCTGCCCTAAGACTGGACTTGGACGAGAGTGGATGAGGCTTGAATTTCCCCTCTGGCCAAAAGCTCAATGGGTGACCTCTCTGGTTAGCTTCTCTCTCTCTCTCTCTTTCTCTCTCTCTCTCTCTCTGCCAAGCCTACTTAAAAGGAGTGATGTGAGAATAAAATAAGCCCATGTTTACCACTATGATTAAGTATCTGAAACATAATGGGAGCAATCTAATACCTGCTTCACATTTGCTGCTTTTCTGTATGTCAGTTTAACCCACATTCAAAGGGGAAATACAAATACAGTACACAGTATACACCGCATATACACAGCAGTTCTGAGTTGTATCTATAACAGGACTTTGCTGGCTGAGCAGCTAACAAATGCACCAAATAAAGAAATACATCACCACTGTGGATGTCTGAAAACAAGCAAATGACATTTGCATGTTGACAACCCCAGATGAAATTTGTGACGGTCCAAATACTTAAAGGATGCACCAGTGAACACTGACAGTCACATAAGCTGTTGAGGGCTGTCCCAACAAATGAAGACAACACCAGGGAATGCTAACGTTCACAAAATTTGCCTGAGATTGCCAATTTTCAGGTATGAATGTTGATATTTGCCACATTTTAGATACTCAAAGCATTGAGTGGTAAAGCAGCTTCCACTACACCCTTGGCGGGGGGGGGGGGAGGGTAACTGCTGAGCTGAGTGATGCCCAGGGATTTCACCTTGATAGCAAAGGGATGGAAGGATTCCATGAGATTGGTAGAAGGCTGACTGAAACTGCTGATATGCAGGGTTTTCAGAAGTATGAAAGGGTAGCAGAGAAAGAATGACAGTGTTGGCTCTGAGAAGGAAGGCTCAAGGAGGATACAAGCACCTTTCTAAATAACCAGTGGTCAGTGGGTGTAGTAGTCCCTGCTCCTTTCTAAGACAAATTTTGTGGCTTGGATGCAAGGGCCAAGAGAAGAATGAAAGCAAGGGTGTGCTACTTAATAGCACGAGCAGAAACTAACGACTTGGGAATGGCTCCTGTGTTTAATCAGCAATATGCACATGAAAAACAAATATACAGTGGTACCTCGGGTTACAGACGCTTCGGGTTACAGACGCTTCAGGTTACATACGCTTCAGGTTACAGACTCTGCTAACCCAGAAATAGTACCTTGGGTTAAGAACTTTGCTTCAGGATGAGAACAGAAATCATGCGGCGGCGGCACAGCGGCAGCGGGAGGCCCCATTAGGTAAAGTGGTGCTTCAGGTTAAGAACAGTTTCAGGTTAAGGACGGACCTCCAGAATGAATTAAGTTCTTAACCCGAGGTACCACTGTACATATTTTACAACATTGCATTAACAGAGTAGCCAGGAATCACAGTCCTAAGTCCAACTGACAGGTATGTGTATGTAACTCTTTTATTTAAAAGCATATGCAAAGGGAAGGGAGAGTTGGCTACAGACATTTCTATTTTGGAAGCAGAGTTCCTCATTGATTCTTACGGGAAGTTCTACTTAATAATCAATGGAACAATTTAGCCCAGGATGTGAAGAGAGCTTCACTTGCCATTTCCTGACCTTATAAGCAAAAAGTCACTAGTGCATGGTGTGTGGGTAATTGTGTTGTATAAATATTCAGACCACTGTAAATACAGGGCCTTTATTCAAGGAAGCAGTGAAGCTAGATGCTTAGAACAGAATGCATTTTGGGTTCTTTCATTTCACCCACGTGGCTCTGTGGTCTGATCCACTCGCTCCCTACAGCTGCTTTTCACCCTGGAAACTTACTGCTGGAATTCCCTCCCCATCCCAGATATTTATCACAAAATCTTTTTTGTCTAAAGCCAAAGTAAATCCTTACCTTTCCTTTTTAGATAAGACACCGTCTGCTTCATTACTGGTGGGATTAATTCACCTTTGTTTTTAGCTTTGAGACTGTTGGAGGAAAGAAAAACAAATCTGAACAATTTTCTCACAGGGTTTCCATACCATTTTCTTACAGGGACAGCTCATATTTGAATCAACTGATTACTGCGACATTGTGTCCTGTGTGAATAAGCCATCTCAAATAAATTACAAATGAATGAAAATTCAGAGCATTTCCAAGCACCATGCTGCTCAATGGAGTCTGTTCACACGCTCAGCTGTGACTCAGCAAGCAATGAGTAATCAAACTATAACCCAGCTCATCTCTGAAATGTTCCTGATCCGTTCTGTAGTATCCAGATACCAGGAACATTTCTGTAGTTAACTAATCTTGTACTCCACAGGGGTCCGTAATGGTCTTTCCAAGAAAGCAAATCTTTACTACCACCTTGCGCTAAAAAAGAATGAATAGGAAGGAAGGGAGTTTTTATCCAGCGTGGCATGTGAATTGTGGCAGTCCTAGATGAAGACAGAGGTAAGCCCTCTCATCAGTGATGGATTTCTGTGGCTGATCCAAACCTGCAAAACAGCATCTGTTTTCTGGTTCTTTACAATAAAAAGAAATTTGGTTCTGTATAAGGAATGCAGGGGCAGATCTACCTTGAAACTAATGAAGCTTACACTTCAGGGCCCCAAAAGTGACTTTATTCCACATTGTTTACAAATTTTGGGTCTAGTAGACCCAGTTAGTTGCATGACTCAATTTGGTAGGTTCCTCAGCAGATAAGTCCATGTGGAAAAGATGCTTTCAGGATCTGGCAATGTGGCATCAAAGCCAGGAACCCAATCCAAACACAGTCTGAAATCCAGTTAGGCCAGACCAGTTCCAAAGTCAGCTGGGGTTGGTCCACACATAATTAACAAAATATACTAGTGTAAAAATGATTTTGCCTCACATACAAATGCATGGGATTTCTCATTCCTATAGATTGCATTCTACAGAGTACTGAATGATTTCATTCAGTATGTAGTCATTTCACAATAATTAAGAACAGTCTTCCTTATCCTTCCTTTCTTTAATGTCTCAAAAATAAATGTGTTTCTGAGAAACTGTAGACCATGAATGTTCTGAGTTCTCTGTTGTAATGTAGGCACTCATAACTGAAGGAGTTTTAAGCATTGTGAGGAAGAGAGACTGAGAAAGAGAACAAAGGAACACTTGGCGACTCATCCAGATTGAGTAAAAATAAAACTCATTTTTTCCAAGAACATATGAAAGAAATTGTGTGGCTTACTACTGGAGGCTGACACCAAACTGCTGGGTTGGAAGAGGGGGTCTTGGTGGAGGGATCTTCACTGCAGTAGGTGGCTTTTTCTTTTGTTTAGTCCGAAGATTTTCATCATGTCTAGTGGAGAAAAGTACACATAATATTCAAGAACGATGTTTGAATCATTCATGTTTCTCAAGAAAAACTTACAAAGACGTATAACAAGTTCTAGAAGTTCAATCACATTGAAATCTTAATTTCAGACCGTAATCTCTTCACAGAATATTAAAACATAAAATATCAACAAAATGTACCACTTGCTATTCTCAATTCCCCACTTGCTGGAGTACACTTCATCTTATCTGATAGATGACATCACTTGGTATTCTTTTGTATTGCACCAATATGGAATACCTTAACATTACTGTTTATCTTCAGGTTAGGGTTTTTATTTTTTGTTTAAAGAACATATTTTAAGGAATATTTGTGAGACACACCTTAGATTAGGGCAGCCATATTTCAAAAGTGAAAATCTCTGGACACCAAAGTTGTTGAGCTTTTTTTTATTTTAATCTCAACAAAAAACAAAAAAATGAAACTGCTGACATGGGTTGTCATACGTCCAGATTTTCCTGGACATTGAAGTGATTCCTGCCCAGACACTGTTTCCATTCTGTACGTATGGTAACCCTACCTTAGATGAGATTAACCACCTAAAGCATGGAAAAGTGCAGCCATATTGGGTCTATATGGATTCAAGGCCTAGGTGAACTCTGCTAGAACACTTTTCTCATGGGTACTTCAGGTCTAAATGATGTTTTTGTTTTACAGTGGTACCTCGGGTTACATACGCTTCAGGTTACAGACTCCGCTAACCCAGAAATAGTACCACGGGTTAAGAACTTTGCTTCAGGATGAGAACAGAAATCGTGCTCCGGTGGCGCGGCAGCAGCAGGAAGCCCCATTAGCTAAAGTGGTGCTTCAGCTTAAGAACAGTTTCAGGTTAAGTATGGACCTCAGGAACGAATTAAGTACTTAACCCGAGGTACCACTGTAGTTTGAAAGCTGCAGCACTAATGCTGGAATCTTGGTTCTCGCAATGACCTTGAGGAGGGAGAGTGTTGTATTTTGCCTGTTTATTTTGACGTCCATTGCCCTGAGCTCTTTTAAAGGGGGGAAGATCTATAAATATTCTGAGTCAATTAAAATAATAAAATATAAAATAAAATAAAATAAAATAAAATAAAATGCCTTTAGCCCTTTAAGATCATGAGAAAGAGAGCACCAGGAATGCAACAGTGTCCTGCTTCTCTGGTTGTATGGCAACTGCGTGTGTCCTGCCCTCCCTCTTTTCTGTCATTAAAGCTGCACAAGAGTAAGATGAGAAAGAATTTAAGAAGAGCCCTGCTAGATCAGGCGAGAGCCGCATCTCCTCCATCATCCTGTACTCAGGGTGACCCACCAGCTGCCCACAAGCAGGATATGAGCACAGCAGCGCTCTCCCCGCTGGTGCTCTTCAGGAACTGATATTCAGAAGCATATTGCCATTGATCCTGGAGGTAAGGATTAGAGACCACTGATAGCCCCCATCCTTTAAAAGCCATCCTGGTTGTCCACCATAACCACATCTTGCAGGAGCAAATTCTTTTGTTTAACTAGGCTTAACTAGTCAGCTTGTGCATTTTGGTTCAGAGGCTCCCAGTGCTGGATTAAACCCTGTGGAGGCCCCAAGGCAGACAAAATCTCAGGGCGGGGGGCTGCCAAATTATCTCCGGATATACCGTATTTTTGTAATTTTCTGTCAAGATCAAATCAATATTCTTTGGCTTTTTTGTCACAAAAAACGCTGGTGCCTACTCTGGCAACCCGGCATTGGAGGCTCTCCTCCAAATACTTCTGGAGCAGCAAAAGAAAACGCAGTACCATGGCAGCTGCAACTGCAATTCTTAGCACTCTTTGACTTCACACACCTCACACTTTTGAACATCAAGAAGAGTGAACCTCTAGACTGCACACGGCTCTCTCATTTCCTCAGTTGTGGGAGGTCAGCTTCTGGGCAGAAAACCTGGGAAGGTGACCACTGTGCAAGGCTGGACCAAAGGGCCATATCATACACCGCCATTGTTTAAGTGGGCAGCTAAGATAGTGTACACATACATTTGAATATTTAAAGTCGTAACAACAAGCATGCATGGGCATACTTGTATTTACAAATACACTTAGCATACATAGACACAACGCTTGCTAGGGAACCAGACTGGCAGCCTCTGTTTGCAAAACAGCTCTGAGTTAAAATCGTAATTCTGTCACTTTTACAAGATGGAAGTATAACTCCTCCTGTACATTAACTGCATGGTTATTTATTAAGCAGGGAGGCATATATGAACGTTTAATTGTTATATATTTACGTAGTGGTGTACAAAAACCCATTTATATAACAAGTGACGCAGCACCAGTGCATTTTGTTTTGTTTTATTGCTATGGCTAGTGGCTGATGCTTCTGATCTGATCTGCAACACCAGCTTCTGTCAGTCAACCAAAGCATGTAAAATACCGTCACGAAGCATTTTATAGCTACTTCCCTCATCTGGAGATTCAAAGTACTTTAAGGAAAATAACAATGGCTGCAACTGGGAGTTCTGGTGACATGAGAATTGCTGGAACACTCCACTGGTAATCTATTGAGGCTTCTGGCCTTTATGGCTGGATAGGTTTGAAAGTGTGAGTAATCCCTGCTGAAAAACCAGAAGTCAGAGAAGAAGCTGGTTGCCAGTGGTTTAATGCAGGGGCTTAGTGTGCTCTGCAACTCCCCTTCAAGGAAAAGTTGCTGCATTTTGGACTTTTTAGTTTAGAGAGAAGACAAGTCAAAGGTGACAGGATAGAAGTTTATAAAACTATACATGGCATAGTGAGAGTGGTTAGAGAAAAGTCATTAGCATTAGAACTTGTGAAGCCAGAACACTTCCGGGGTGGCGCCTCCGGAAAATGGCGGAATTCCCTTCGGACTGAAGGGAACCCGCTGCACGGAGGCTTGGGTCCTGCCGCTACGGTGCAGCGGGGACCCTCAAAAACCACAGGCGGAAGAAGCCTGTGGACGTGGGACTCGGCGGGCACCGAGAGCGCTCTCCCCTTGTACAGGAGCCCGGTAACGGGCTCCGGAGTGGGAGGTGCGTGGTGCTGTGAGTCGTCTGCTTCCTCCGTGCAGCAAAGCCGCACTGCCGTTATCGGAGAGCGCTGCCTTTGTCCTGGACAATGTGGCATCTAAAATATCTATCCGTGAGTACCTGATCTTGGAAGAGTTGAACCACTTTTAAGACTGGTGAATAAACAAATAATATTGGACTTGAAATTGAACTTAATTGGGACTCGGAATGGGAAGGTCTAAACAGGAAGTCGCCTTCCGTTCTTTTGTTATGTGAAGAAAGCAAAGACAAAATATACTAAAGCTTGAAAATTAAATTCTAAGAGAACTAGAATTCAACATCTAAGATTTCTGAACCCCCCCTTTGACTGCAGGAGAAGAAGGGGGTTGTATTTGGACTTTTCAATCCTGCGGAAGTGAGTTTAAAATAAAGCAATTTTCCACCGCCCTGAACCAGGAGCGGGCTGTCAGAATTGACGTTCTGAAGTTTATCCAGCTCGACAGTTAGTTAAAAGAAGGGTAACATTTTGATTCTACTGTTGCCTCTTGAATTTGGAAGGGGAATTTTGGATAAAGTGTTTCTGGAAAAAGAAAGATTGTTGCTGTTGCTTTTATTCCTTTAAAAAAAAAAAAATTTCCATCTAGTGGAATTTAGTGAAATTACAGCGCAGAGAGATTAAAGAGAAGGACTATTGGACTATTGTCGTGGGAAAGAATTTTCTTTGACCTTGAAGGACAATGCTAGTACAAAGGCTTGAACAATTGTTCCTGGAAGGTTTTTCAAAACTAAGTGCCCAGCTGGACCAGATGCGTCAGGAGACGACCTTGATGATGGAAGTTACCAGAGCACAGCAGCAAACAAATGAAATTCAGTTAAAGGCTATACAAGCATATGAACCTGCTGTAGTGACGGAGGCTTCAGAGATGGAGGGACCTTTGGACGGGCAAGATCAGCCTTTGAACTTTATAAATGAACTTGGGACAAACCAGATTCGGAAAGATGAAATGTGGTCAGATTTGGAAATGGGGGATGGATCGACCCTCCATATGGTTATTTGGACCTTCCGAGTCTGGTGATGGGCTATCAGAGGATTGAGTAGCCGAAGTCTTCAAGCTTTGTGGAAATTTGAAGTGGTATTATTTGCTGTCTGGCTTGGGCAATGGGTTTGGGATGGACTTGCTGCAAAGGGTCAAAAGCATTTTCTTGCTGGAGCATCCACGACTGGAAAGGAATCATCAACAAGAGTGCCGAAAGGGGCAAGAAAGAGACTTGAGGGCCTCGGATACGAGACAACCAGGTTAAGGAGCCGGATTATCGAGGTTAAAAGGACTGACAATCCCGGGTCCAGGGGAGGGGAGGTTGGAAGCTGACTGGACCGAATTTGACTTATTATTTTTTTTCTTTTTTCTTTTTTAATATTAGGAATGCTTACAAATGTTTGAAGGATGTTGAATGAAATTACATGGCTTAAGTAAGGATTGGTAAATGATTCGTAAAAAGGTAATGATGCAAGAATTTGGTAAATATTGAATACAAGTTATGAGTTTTAAAGTTTTTATATGACAAGAGGGAAAATAGAATAAGGAAACGTAATGACAGATTGTTATGAAAAAACAGAAAGGATTTGCTGTAAAAATTAAAAATTAAGAAACAAAAGAGGGGGAGGAGGAGGAAGTCTAGAAAGGAAGTCAATAGAGATTGTAAAGGACTTTATATTTTTGTTTTTCTGTTTCTCTCTTTTTTTTTTTCCTTGCGGCTGGGTTTTCTTTTCTTTTTTGTTTATGTACTATTTTTGTTTTTTGTATCCTCAATTTTTTTTTTGGAAATTTTTGTTGTTATTCTTTGAAAATTTAATAAATATCAATTATAAAAAAAAAAAAAGAACTTGTGAAGCCAATGGCCGGGAGATTCAGGACAGATAAAATAAAGTATTTCTTCACCCAGTGCAGAGCTGAACTAATGGAAGATAAGGCTGTCCACAGCTACTAGCCACGATGGCAATGTTCTGCCTCCAGGGTCAGAACCATTATACGTCTGAGCACCAGTTGCTAGCGACTGCAGGTGCGCAGAGTACTGTCATGCTCATGCCCTGCTTGTGGGCACCCCACAGGCATCCATCTGGTCAGCCATTGCAAGAAGAGGATGCTGGACTAAATGGGCCATTGGTCTGATCCAGCAGGCTCGTCTTACATTCATATCTTATCACAATGAAGTAATATAAGTAATGTAGGAACACATTTTGTCAGTTCACATAATTTGAAGAAGTTGCAAAAACCAGCTTTTCTCGGTGCACAGTTTGGATTACTGGAGGCAGAATTTCCTTTTCCTTTTCAACGCAGAATAAATACAGCCCAAATGATATTCTGGTCCACGTGTAACCCCTGCAGATACCTATTTACTTTCTCTGTGGTGAATCATTCAACATTTCTTAGATGTTATTACTGGTGACAATGCACTTTGTACGATAGCATGTAGCCAAGAATAGATCGGGTATATCAAACATTTAATCAGACAGAAATTTAGTGAAGTTGTCTGAAAAAGGAAAACAATTTAATATAAGACCTCCCCCCCCCTTTTTTTTTAAAAGAAGAACCTTAAGGACTGTTTTGAACGTGTTACATACCGAATAACTTCTTGAGGGATCTTAAGTTGGTCGTATTTAAGATGGTCTCTCAGGTCACTCAGGTAATTCAGATAGATTACCTTTTTTCCAAACTTGTGACTAAAAATATAAGAAAATTTATACAAACACAGGAATTAGGAATATTTCCTGAAAGTGTTACTTTAATATTATGAAACCTGAATGTCAACGTGAGTGCCAAAAGTGGACTATGACTAAAGCAGCCAAGGCACAAGATGCATTCATTTTCATTTGATCAAACATAAACATACCATGCTTGAGTCCAATTTGAATAAAAATGACTGTCTTCCATCCTAATGTAACTGCTATTTGCATAGATATAGAAACCATTGTTTTGAGAGGGAAACAAAAACCTTTATTTTAATGCAGCATTAAAAATGTATGGAAAGAGTATGTTCTGTTAAGCTTTCTATGTCAATAGTTAAGTGGAAAAAATAGACCTTATTGCTGGCAAAGCAATTTGTGCCTTGCTTTATATGGAAAGATTAAATCGCAGGCAGCAGTTTCCATAGGTCCAATTCTTCACTACCTTGACAGAATGGAAACCACCTTCCTGCTCCTGCTAATATCTGGATATATCTGGATCAGTGCTGGTTGTGTAGTTTCCATTCTGCTGCAGCTCGGATTCCAATGAAAGCCAATTAATGTTGCTCTTATTAGGATATTCCACGCTATTCTTTTCAATGCAAAGGAAACCCAATGCAAATTAGGGGGGAGGGGAATTACCAATTATATATCATTTGTGGAATGAAAACAGCAATGAATACCAACTGTATTCACTGGATTGACTTCTGTTCCAGATGCATGATGAATAAGTAAACACTGGGAATTTCCGCTCCCATTTCCATTGGAATTCTCTGACAATCCCACATGCGTTGCAGGAATAATTTGATGTTGTTGTTTTTCTGGCGAGAACTTTGATCCCTAGAAAGGGCTACACTTCCCAAGCAGAAATGATCTTATCTGCCCCTTCCACATGGTTCCTGCAGTCAGAGGGGAATGGGATAGAAGCTTGGAAGCTTTTCCCATACAGTGGTACCTCAGGTTACATACGCTTCAGGTTACATACGCTTCAGGTTACAGACTCCGCTAACCCAGAAATAGTGCTTCAGGTTAAGAACTTTGCTTCAGGATGAGAACAGAAATTGTGCTCCGGCGGCATGGCGGCAATGGGAGGCCCCATTAGCTAAAGTGGTGCTTCAGGTTAAGAACAGTTTCAGGTTAAGTATGGACCTCCGGAACAAATTAAGTACTTAACCTGAGGTACCGCTGTACTGCTGTGATAACATAGGCTACAGACAAATTTGATGCAGCGCAACACAGTCTTCTCTCTTTTTTAAAGATAGTGTCAGAAGCAGTTCATCCAATATTCAACGGGACTGAGCTGAAATTGTTCCAAGAACATTTTTGGCAGTGTCAAAGATTAAGGGTCTGGAAACCAAGCCTTATGAGGAACAGTTGAGAGAGTTGGGTGTGTTTAGTTTGGGAAAGAGGACACTGACAGGAGATATGACAGCCATCTTCAAATATCTCAAGGAATGTCACGTGGAGGATGGAATAAGCTTGTTTTCTCCTGCTGTAGAGGGTAGGAGCTGAACCAAAGGTTTCAAGTTGCAAGAAATGAGATTCTGACTAAACATCAGGAAGAACTTTCTGACAGCAAGAGCTGTTCAACAGTGGAACAGTCTCCCTCGGGAGGTGGTGGACTCTCCTTCCTTGGAGGCTTTTAAGCAGAGGATGGATGGCCATCTGTCATGGACGCTTTAACTGAGATTGCTGTATTGCGGGGGTTTGGACAAGATGACTCTTGTGGTGCCTTCCAACTCTACAATTCTATGATACTGGGATGATTCACATCAAAATTTGAGAAAATGTTTGCCTATTTGTTTCCATTACATTCACTCAGGATAATAATAGCCTCAGCACTCCACTCCTGTATGGTGTGTGCTCGCTAACTAGACATTTACTCACTGATATTTGGGGTCTGTAAATCAGCAGAATTGGCTCCCACTGCTTTTGGGATCAATATCCCAAATTATCATGATGCTTTGTCCCTCCCACAGTTGTCCCTATGTGCACGGGACTCTGCGGCTGGCAGTCTGTGCAAGAGCATTTCACACAGGGAAGCACAAATCTCTTTGTCTCTTGAACTACACGTCCTAGATTAACAGCACACTCTCCCTTTTGTAGAGAAGGATTTGGGCCAGAAACTCACTGTTCAAAATACGGATCATTCTGTTCAAACTCAGCTTCTGATTGGCTCCAGCACACCTTACAAGATCCAAACACTATGAACATAGGATAGGATATCCATAAACATAATCAAGCATGATCTAGAACTTAATGGTAATAGGGGTAAAGTCTCAGATCTCTGGACCCCAGAGACAGTACCCTTTCATGTATCCCTTACTTAGACCCTGAAAATAAGACACAAATTGGACTAACATACTGTTAATATTATTCCCATTTCTGTAAATTATTCTGCAGAATAACATTGAAACTCCAGCTCTGTATGCACCAGCACCCTCTAGTGGAAGACAGCAGAAATTTTAATTAGCAGAAATTAATTAACTCAAAGAGTTGGCTTCTGCTGTCAAGGAAGTACTTTTACAGAATTAACACACTTGCTCCTCAATGTGTACAAACCTAGTTAGGCCTTCCAGGATGCTCTTCCATGATAAAATGAAGCATTTATGCCAGCCTATTAGCGAATTCCAAAAGAAAAACACACACGAACAACCAAAAACAGATTGTGTTACCCATGGAAGCAGTGCCTTAAATAATTTGCTCTTCACCTCAGGAGGGCTTCCTGTTCTGCAAAATCTGCTACCTTGACATTAACGTTTTATGGTTTTGCTGCTTTCTAATGGCATGAAAACCAGCCCTTTCACTCTCTCCCTGACCGGAAAAAGCCAACTTCAAGGATGGGGTGGAGATAAACACGAGTGTTTCCAATCGCTACTTCTGGAAAAGGCACCCGACACCTACTCCTACCCCCATGAACCTCTAAACTATTCTTCCTCTCAGCTTGAAACAGAAGAAAGCAAGCAGTTCTTTTCAGGCGCCTTGTAAGTTCTTGGATTTGGAAACTTCTTGAACATTAAACACATACACACACACACACACACACACACACACACACACAAATGTTCTCTGAATCTCAGCCTACCAGCTGCAATCTAAGGGAGGGGACTTTTAGCAAAAGGAGCTCTGAAGACGAAAAGAACTCCACTAGATCCCGTATGTACCTAAGCACCACACTGATCTAGACCAGAGTGGTCCATGTTTTCATACCAAGTGGGCTGCAAGAGTACTTTGACATGGGACCTGCGGGCCACACAATGCCTTGTTGTATGGGAGGAGAAGTCATTATCTGATGCCCCAGGGCTTTGAGAAGAAGGTGCAAGGCTCTGGCAGGGTCCTAGAGCCATCTCACCTTCCCCCCCCCTCAAGCTAGGAAAGTGCTAACTAGGCTTTGGGAAGGAGGCAGGAGTACTCTAGGATGCTGGGAAGTTAAGTCTTATGAACTCACTGAGATTTAGTTCCATCAACACATGTTTAGGATCAGACAGCAAGTAACAGAGGAGAAAGTATCTGACATCAACACAGTGAGCGCAATGGAACAGAGTGGGAAGAATGAGAACTCTGAACACAGTAGACAGCAAAGTTAGGAGGAAACATAAAATAAAATAATTTCACGTACTCATGCCAAGTCCTCATCACCCATAATATATTTCATTGGCAGGCTCCCCAAGTATTTTTACCTTGTGATTTCTATAACACAGATGTTTCTAGAAATCCACTTAACAATAACAAAAAAGCAAACTACCCTTCAGCTAAGCACAAAATTGTCTTCAGCAAACCAATATGTACCTGATTAGAGGTTTAAAAATGTTCCAAATAATTTTTATGAAATTGGTTGGATGTACAATGTAGAGAGCTTTCAGATTTTTCTTATACCTGCAGAAAAGAAAATTAAATTGTTAGGAGACTTCTGAACGTTACATGCTGTAGTGGAGTGGAGCTGCAATTGAATGTGGGGGGAGTTTTTATTACTGGAACATTATACAGTATTCATTTCAAGTACATCTAATTCAGAGGAATTGAATGTAAAATGAAAAGAAGAAATGGTCAGTCCTGATGGAACTGAAGTAGGTGAAGATTATACAGCGATTACATTACAAACCAGTATCTGAATTGTTTTGTGGGTATAATAATGGTGGGAAAAATCTCTCTAAATGGAAAAAAGTGTGTGGGAAATGGAGAAAGAAAAAAGGTAGCAAGAAGGGAGAAGATCTTTAGAAATTCAAGAGATGGAAACCATTATTTGATTCCAATTTCTGTTATTCATTCATTAAAAAAGAAAGTTTCACACTGAAATGAATTTCCAACTTAATCATTTTCCTTTAAGTATTTTACTTCGCATTCTTAAAGATATCTGGAATATGGCATTGAGCATAATGATATATGATCAGCACAGCCCCTGGGGGAAGCAGTTCAGTCTCTCAAGACCTTTCTTTATAGTGACATGTTGGAGGCAGCCAGAGGAGCTCATTAGGATGCGCACATATCCATATGAGGAGCACCAAGGCAAAAGCAAGTTTAACAAGTGCCCTTCCTTGCCCTGCCCAGTGCTGCTACTACCTCCCAAAGTATTTTTAAACCAAGTTCATCGTAGTCACAGGGGTTGCTGGGTGGGCTAGGTGCACCCCCACCCTGAATATCCTTTGTTTTACCCCTCTTCTGTCTAGACCTGTCACTCCTGAGCTATGCAAGATGTACTGACAGTTGAGCTGTGGGTGGTTGGAGGCAGGAAAAATTAGGTTAAATCTGTTATTGATGTGGTGCTATGCCAGTGCAAAAGATTTCCAGGACTCTGTAGCACTGCAAGGCAAATCCAAAGGAGTAAATACTCCTTTGTGCATTCTAAGTTCATGGTGGTCGGGATTCTAGTAACAGGTGCAGGTTGCCTTAGAGTTTGACTGGTTTGCCAGGCATATGGAGCTTCCTGCTTGTTCACTACTTTTCTGCATGAGGACAGGGACAAACAGGCGAATTTCTTGCAGAAGTGAAAACATCACTATGGGATCCAGCAGCTTGCACTCCATCAACCCATGGAGACTAAAGACAGCAATTCTCCCTCTACTCGCAATGTTATTTCTATCCCGTGCAACAATTGTAAAGTCAGAATACTTCTGATATGCCAAAAGCCTGGAAAATATTGTTAATCCGTTTTAAATCATGCCACCCTCAATCATATAGGACAAAGTTCATCTAGACCTCCTCCCTTCTGTGAATGAGTGCCACAGGCCTTTCTGCAAAGGCAGCTTAAGCTCTAGGTTATTGTGATGACAAAAATAGGAAGACCAAATATGTGCTATGACGTGCCCCAGGAAGGGGCGGGCAGGATGGAAATGCAATCAATTTTTAATTAAAAGTGGGAAAAACCTGGCCAAACTATGCCTTTATAATGGTGATTTTTTAATTTTTATTTTAAAAAAGCATAATTTAGAAAACATACTTCCTGTCAAATTCCTTGTAGGCGCTTTGTAACCAACTCAGGGAGGGTTTATTCTTACTGTTCAGTCCATAGTGAAAGTAGATCACTGTGTAATCATTTTCTACATACTGGTCCAGTGCATACTTTAAATATCTGGAATAAAAGCAGCATAGAACACACCAATATATACACTGTATTTTCACTGTGGTTCTTTAGCTCTAAAGAAGAGAAGGAATACAGGTGCCCATTGGCCTAATACATACTATTTTCATGGTATGCTCAAGCCCAAACATTGAACATCCCCCATAGGACTTGCTAGTATTAAAAGCTTGTTCAGAGATCACTCAAATACAAAGAAAGAGCATAATTCAATGATGAAGTGATTGATGCTTGATTTTACGGCTGACGATTGGAAAGCTATAATGGATGTAGCCCCCGCCCTGCCCTGCCTGTTGACACATGAGTGAAAATAAGAAAAGACTTACTCTAATAACCGTCTGTGATTAAGTTGATAGGAAGGAGGCAAACGGCAGCAACTGAAAGCAATCACTTTTCTCCCCAAATTATCATCACCTGGTAAACCAACAAGAGTTTAGTTATCAGTGTGATAATTTCACTCTAAATGTACATGTTTTAAATGCAAAGCTTTACATTCTGGAGGACAAAAGTTAAACAGGAGGATGTAAGATAAATTGAGAGTGGATCAGCAATTATTAAAAACAAGCTGTTGTGGGAGCTACTTCTCCCCCACCTCCTCTCCCAAATATCACGCAGATAACCATGTTCACAAATGGGGCTTCTGGGCTGCACTGACACAAAACCGCTTGTTGCTAGAGCTTCTGAATCTATTGATGGGCCCCTGCACTCCCAGCCTGGTTTGCTCCTCCTTTGGGGTGGGATGAGGAGAGAGGGAGAGAGGAGAAAAAAGGAAATGAAAGAAGTGATAGGTGTTTTCTCCTAATGCCTGCCCTATAGGAGCAGGGGTGGGCATTTGGAGAGGATCCCTAACTTGGGGGAGAGAGAGAGGCTAGCAGGACAAACTGTGTTCAATAATCAATACAGAACACAGCATTTTACACTGAAATATAGGAAGGTGCCGTATTATACAGGATGAGTGTCAACCCTACATCTGAATGCAAGGGTTGATGAGCCAGTAAGATTGCTGACTTACACACACGTAAGCTGAGAAACCTTCAATAGGATCTTTAGCCCACTCCATTTGCTTTCCCTTCTATTTGCAGGCTTCTATTTTTGCCCTAATCCTCCAAGCACTGTATTTCTTTATTACAGGTTATATAACTTAAAGCAGAAAAATTAAATGATTTGCAAATACAAAGAAGATGCCAAAGAGGTTTTCAGCAAACATACCTACAAGGTGAAGTATATTATGTCTGGCCACATCATAATATGGGTGTGTTGGGCTTATTTCAGCATCACCATTTGACACAGATGCAAATGATACCTGGCTCCCTTCAAGATCTGCATTTTCTGCCTCATCTTTCCTTAATTCTGAAGCAAAAAACATATTTAGGTACATTTATAAAAAAAACAACAACCCAGTAACTCAGGACCAAATAATTAAAAAAAGAATACTGTTCTTTATTAATATATTCCAGTTATTCAGATGCCAAGTACTTCTAGTCCAGAGTCCTGTTTGCTGGCAAGCGAATCCATCTGGGCAGCTCACAACTGGGGCTTGAAGGCTGCCACTCTCCCTTGCTGGGGTTTCCAGTATTGACAGGTCTGTGACCACTGCTAGATGGTGAAATTGCCCACTCCCCCTTTAAAGCCATAGAAGCCAATGACAATCACTGTGTTTTTATGGCAGTGAATTTCCAGTGATGGGTTTTTAATTTTGTCTATTTTACTTTTTTTAATTTATAAAATTTCTAAACCACCCTCATTCGAAGATCAAAGGGCAGTTTACAATACAAAACACAAAAATACATACAAGAATAACAAACAAAACCAATAACCCTCCCACACACAGTTATTTGTTTTTATTGAATCCATGTTCTTACAACAGTTATCCAAAATGCCTATGTATTTTTTATAAAACACTACTGTTTGATGTTGCGATAGCCCAGTCTGTAGTGCATGAGACTGGTGCATGAGTGCATGGTTTGAGTCCATGTTGGACAGACGATTCCTGCATTGCAGGGAGGTTGATTAGATGACCCTTGTGGTCTCTTCCCACCCTGCAATTCTAAATCTATGATGCATTGCATTGAATATGGCACTAATGAACCCGTGCTGATATGAACAGCTGAAGGGGGTGAAATTAATGGAAAACATTGATGTTACAGTTGTTACTGTGGAGATTTTCTGCATATCTTGTGAACAGGACCTCTAAAAATTTTTGGAAGGAGATGGTTAAGCATTAACAGCACTAATGCTATTGGCACATCACATTTATTAGAAAGTTTAAAGAGCAGTGTAAAGATCCTGGATAACAAATTAATCATTAACTTTTGATTAATAATTCATATAATTATTAATACAGCAATAGTTAACTATAACAATGCCAATTTTCACATTGCATAAAGCATAAGCCATAGCACTTATGTTAAAAGTGACATATTTTAATAGCAAGGAAGAAACAGTTTTATACAGACACTATTTTGTAAAGTTAAAATGTAAAAATGATCAGGCATTAACTCTAATGGAAATCTACTCATATTAAATATTAGCTTATGTCATCATTTATCAAAGTAAATAGGCAATGCTTTCTTAATGGACCGGTAAACACTGTTAGTATGTTTAAAAAGTAAGAATTATATTATTTCCGTGTCACATTAAGCATCCCTCTAGTCCAGCAGCCAACCAGATGCTTCTGGAAGTTCATGAGCAGGGTAAGGTGGTGATGGCAACCTGCTGTTATTTGTTCCAGGCATCCAAGCACTCAAAGGTATACTGCTTCCAACTACAGAGGATTGTTCTTACACACAATGATTTGTGTGCAATTTTCTCCCTTTTATGTATAAGTGGTGAGATACAATTTATGTTTTCTGAATAAACAGGGTTTTCAAAAGTCAAATTTCTATATTATTATATGTTAGAATTGATCCCCCCCCCCAAAAAAATGATGGGCCCCCTAATGAGTTGGCCATATGGTTATGTTCATTGGAACATCTTCAAAAGATAACACACAATCAGGAGGTCTCTAGCCTCATTCAATACTTGTCTCTTTAGAGTAATGACTCCCATTTGTGCCACAATATGTGATGATAGCATTATTCCAATAGCCTAGAATTTCACTGGGAACACATGCCAATAATTCATTTAAACTGTGTGTATTAAACTAACCTTCAACCTTAATAGCTTTTGATAATAAGGTACATGCCAGTGCAACGGTTGTAACTCAAAAATATTACACTATCCTGGCAAAAGTTTTTCACTTAGGGAAGAATGTCTTCTAAATCATCTGGAAATATATAGAAGATGCCACTTGATGGGCAGTAATAGATCTATCTATAATTTACCTATTTCAGCTAACTTTTCAAAATCGATTTCTGACATGCCTTCCATATACAAAGCTATCCAATGCAGACAATGTTGTCTTCTAGTTCTTCAGTCCTTGATCAACCCTGAAAAACAAAACGAAAATTATTAGAATCAGAGAGAAGGAGAAAAGCTTCACCAGAGCATATTTTAGGGCTCAGTTCCAGACACATCTTGTTGCAGCTGTGCTAGGCACTCAGCATTGCATGACCTTTCTGCAAGTTTCTCTTGTAATAAAAAGAAGGTACCTATCTGCTTATTTCTTATTAAATTCATCAAACACCTTTCCAAGAGTGGGCAGATCAGTATGGATCTTCAGGAAACTGTCTGAGTGATCTGCAGTGGATAAGTAACTCCAGCTCACAATGCTTTTAGCAGTGGTGATGAGAAAAATAATTATTTTCTCTCTCTCTCTCTCTGCTAAATTAGGCTGCTGGAAAATGGGGCAGGAGAAGAAGAGAAGAGAAGAGAAGAGAAGAGAAGAGAAGAGAAGAGAAGAGTTCTGGCGTTGCAAGGAAACTCCTGGGCTGACAATGGGCTCTGAAGCAACATGTTCTTCCATTCTATGTCTCCCTTCCTGATCCACTTGGTGTAACTCAGAATTCTAGTGGGAAAACAAAATAGATTCTGCAATCCTAAAGTCTGCCCAGTCCTGATGTACATAAAAAATACCATTAAAACCCTAAGCTGCAGCAAAAAGAGAGCAGGTATGGGAACAGCAGAAAAATCAAATATCTAGATCACAGCCCAAAGTGGACTTAAAACAGAAATGTTCTTGCTTGCCTCCTTGTAGTGGGATGACCAAGGCTAGGCAAATGGGAGGTTAGTTTTGCCTACCCACATGGGAATGGACTCTGGAAGAGTCAGGAAGTGGGTCTTTTCCTCAGCACCAAATTGACCCTGTGTGAGTAATAAGCAACAGGCAGATAGGCAGGCAGAAGCTCTTGGGAGGCAGAGCCCCCTTTCTGAATAGCTGCCCCCACCCACTCTGCCCCACCAAAGGTCTAGGTAAGCAAATCCTTCAGCCCAAGTTTATTTCCCAGATTTTCTAAACAGTGCCAGAATGCCCCTGCAAAAAAATCAGAAACAAGTTAAAACACGAAGGGAGATGGGATCATGAAAAGAGAACATCTGCCCAGTTTTCAGCATATTGTTCCTGAGGGGCTCCAATTAGAAAGTTTCCATTTACAAGAAAAAAATTACTGTAGCACCCTAGGAAATTAATTTACCCCTGACCATAGCATTCTCTGTTCCTAAGAGATAACATAATCTCCTTAATAGCATTTGACGCCAAGTATTACTGTTTATAGTGAACTGCCAGAATTAACTCTTCCTCAATGCCTAATGAAGGGAAATGTTCCACAATAAAAATTTGGAAACCTTCTACAATAAAGCCCAATTTGTATCATTCATGAGTACTACCTTTTGACAGCCTAGAAAGATTGTTGCCATGTAGGCATTAAAAAAAAAAATGAAACTGCAAACACAACAGTTAAAAAAAATAAAAGAACCTGCATCAATGGATAGATGAAACAAAGCCAAAGGATTCCTTGCAATGTTTGTTAACTCTTTGATGCTTTCCCTTTGTTCCTCTGGCTGTCAGCTACACCTCTTATTTAAATGTAAAGCAGAAAGCTATTGATCTGGATCTTTAAAAGGGAGGGAGATCCCTGTCTCCACATGTATCTGCCCTCCACCAATAACTCTTTGTTTCTTCTGAGATGCAACATGAAATATCAGACTACTTTAATATGCAAAGTACATTTTGCATTCTTTAACATCTTGAGAGAAGCTAAAGTTTCAGAGAACTTTTTTTTAAAGATAAAAATATCAATATTAAATTAAACCTGCATGCTTACTATAGGGTACCAAGAAAAGTAAAATGCAGCCAGTAACAGTTGGGAGAGAGCAAAAGAGCTTGCATATCATTTTTATGAATTCTCTAATTAATGTCTAGGTTTCCTGTGCTGTGATCCTCTGGCCCCCGTGGCAGTTTATTTCCTGAGGGAAAATCCTAAAAATATCTCAACAACATCAATCCTAAAAAAGCCCAACAACTTCAATCCTAAAAAAAGTTCAACAACTTTGGTCAGCCCCTTTCACTTCAGCAAATCCGGCCCTCTTTGAAAAAAGTTTGGACACCACTGCTCTAGATCTCCCACTCAAAGGTTAGGCAGAGAAGAGAGAAAGGAGTTGGGGAAAGTGTTAGGCAACTCATTCTATCAACTGTTTACTCTCTGGTTCAGATTGGGAGACTCCTCATACTTTTCCCTCTGATGCACTTTGAAAAATAAGAGAGCTGCAGGCTGCTATTTCAGTTGTTCTGTCATGTTGTCATGTGTCTCCTAATGGTGCAGCAATAAAACTGCTAGCACCTTTGCAAAGCTAAGCAGGGTCCAGAATCGTTCAAAATTGGATGGGATTCCTGCACTGCAGAGGATTAGATTAGATGTCCCTTGAGGTCCTTTCCAACTCTATGAATCTAGTTCAGCTCACAAAGGTTAGCAGTGTACTGGTCATTTTGTGGCACACAGACACACCAGCAACTTTCAAAAGCATCTCTGCCTTGTCATCTAGAAGCAATTTTATTTGCCGCAGACAACCAGGATAGTAGTTACTGGTACTACCTAGCCTGCTCTATTCTAGTTTGAGTCTGCAGAGTTGTGGATAAAAACAGTTGCCTCTTCACACTTCTGAAAGGTGATCCCTCCTGGCCACAAGACCAAGTATCAGTGCCACTTTTATTTTTATTTCATTAAGTTTTTGGGTCATGTGAACGGGCTCTTAAATAAATCCAAATGGTGGCTGGATTACAGCCAGAGCTTGGCATAAAACAGACAGCAAAATCTTATATTTGCTTGAAGCAGTGCACGTGTTTATTGGGTAAGGATGATTAGCTGTTAATCACAATAAACATTAATGATCAACCGTTTTATGAAATCTGCTTTCTATTAAATTAACTAACTGTAAAAGGAAGCAACAACAAAGAATTATGTTAGGCTAAATCCACACTCAAGCAGAGATTATATCCCAAGAGTATAATGCTTTGGATCTTAGACTGAAATATATTTTAAGATGGCAGCTTTAATTGAATTAAGCTGGCAAGCTAGTGGACAACAGTCTGGAGTGTAGTAACTACATATTTTTAACTGCAAGAATGATCCACAGGGAATCATTCAGCTCAAATAAATTAGCTCTTCATAAAGAATATTAATATATTAAATAGCACAGGCTCGAGTTTCTTAAGCATAGCACACAATAGCAGCAAAGAAACACAGAGCAAATGAGGCAACAATGGCAATCGGCACATTGAAACAATGTGGATTCCCACATCAACAAGGACATGGAGAGGTTCACCCAGTTCCCAGTGCACCCTATGAGATGAATTATATGTGGGTGGGAACAGGCACCTTGGTCCAGGGCTACAAATTACCCACAACATAGTGTGACTACAGCTAGATCAAGACCCTTACCTTTATTTCAATCAAGTGCTGTTTAAAATGGTAAAATGGTTCTAAAATTGTGAAAAGACCTTCATGCAGCTTGCCTGCTCAGGAAAGGAAACAAAGAGAGCCAGTGTGCAAAGTCACAGTGTTTCCTCTGGGTTTCCTATGACCTTCACCAAGCTATGCAGATAGGAAATTTAAGTACCAAAATGGAAGAAGTGAACTGAAGCAGAAACACACAACTCAACCCAACCAAGAAGAAACTAGTACTGATCTTAACAGGACTTCAAGTATGTGTAGGAATCTAGTTTTAATGAGATAACAAACACAATAAAACTTCAACCGGCTGTTCAGTCAAAAAGCAGGAAATGTTTGTCAGCACCACACAGGCACCAGGTAAAGCTGTTGTGTTGCAGAGAACAGGGAAGAAAACGCAAACACAGTGGCGTCATTCTTTTAGTAAAACTGAAGTAAAGGGTACAAAATAAGGGTCTCCCGCTTGCTCATACGCATGAGGAGAGAGCAGGAGGCTACTTGCCCTCCAAATCTCCTCTGGGGTGTCAGCTACCCAAGGACATTTTTAATCTGCTTTCTTTCCAAGTCCTTGGAGGAAATCCTGCTGGACAGGTAGAGAGGTGTGTGTGTGTGTGTGTGTGTGTGTGTGTGTGTGTATGTATGTGTGAGATCAGCATACATGGTTAGAGGTTAAGCACATCCCTTGCACACACCCCTTGCACTTCCACACCCCTTGCACTTCCTATGCAAATACCCACCCCACCCTTGCAGTTGTCTGATGTGCACACACCTCCCACTGTCACTCCTTCCCTCTCCTTCATCTTACACAGTACAGGAGATGAAGGTTTGAGAATACCTTATTTGCTCCATTAATTATGAAAAATCTAAAATTTTAGTTTTTGAAAGAAGCTTCTTCCGGTCTAAATGGGTGCTGGATGGCCATAACCTTGAACAGATCAAATACTTCAGTTATCTAGGGCTCACACTCCATCATACAGGATCTTGGAAGCACCACTGGCAAACCTCCCTTCAAAAGACAGAGATCACAAAGCTAGCCATACTCAGATTCTTTTTCACAAAGGGCAGCAAATATGTTCCAACAGCCTTAAGGGTTTTCAACACAAAACCCGTTTCCCAACTCCTGTACGCTGCTAATGTCTGGCATAATGGGGACCTGCCAAAGCTAGATGGCTTTCAGGCAAAATTTCTACGATCTCTGCTGCAGGTACCCAACTGTGTCCCCAACTCCATACTTCTGTTAGAAGCTGGGGAATGCCCAATTTCAACTAAAGCGTGGTGGGCTGCCCTAAAACATTGGCTCAGGATTTCAGTGTTTGATCTAGGGAAGGGTTTGTACCAACACCTGACCAATGAGGAATTTGTCAGCAAATGGCAGAAAACCATGACTAAAAAAGCCATCTCTATTGGTCTGTCACCCCCCAACTGTATTACCTGGGTTATGAAGGCGCCCAAAAGATGTTAAGGGACGCGGGTGACGCTGTGGGTAAAACCTCAGCGCCTAGGACATTAGCAGCGGCAAAGTTTTTATCGGAGGTTGCAAGAACCAATGATCCCTATATTCTGAACAAAATGCTTGTTTAACCTGGAGGTAGGTTGTATGAATTGTGTATTGCCTTGTAACGATTTGTTGGGTCTCTGGCCCGTAATAAAGATTGTTGTTGTTGTATTTGCTCAGGTAACATATAATTATTTTCTCAGTGCCAAGCTAACTGATAAATATGTGTATGCATTCCGATGTCTTGTTTTTACTTTGAAAACAATAGCTCGGGGATAACCCAGACTGGGACCATGGCAGGCAAGAAGGAAGGGTTTAGCCTTCTTTACCTATAGCACAGTAAAAGTACCCCCTGAGCTGCTGCTTTTCCTGGGAGAGAAGCAGGTACAACACTCCTATGCTATATTCAGCTATATCTCACCTAAAGCTAAATTGAGTAGGCTGTTCAGTGTTTACAGGCCTTGGGGTTGTTACAGGAGGACAAAGTTTTACCTTTCAAAGTGTCCTTTTTCCTCTTATTCTCAACCCCTTTTTGCCTGCCTAGAACCCTCCTTGACAGGCTCTCCAGTTAGTATCACCACCTACATGGTTCTCCCAAGCAACTCCAAATACGAGTTCACACTGCATGTGATTCCTCATGTGTTTTGTTTACCATATCACACAAGCAGCACCTGGCCTCTTGGGACATATGTTTCTTGTGTGGTAAGGAAATCGTGACATCAGAGGAACCAGAAGCCTTTCAGTGTACTGAACTGGTACACAGCAAACACTGAGGTAGTAACAGTGGTGGACTTGGGGCTTTAAAATTTTAGCAGTGCCCTGTGCAATGCCAAAATTTGGTGTGTGCCCTACCTCTTGCCTTCAATTACTCACCACTGTTGCAGTGTTACCTGCGGCACCATCTCGGCTTGGCGCCCAGTGTGGGCAATCGGGTCTCACTCCCCTAAATCCGCCTCTGGTGGTAATAATCAGAGTGGTTTGGGCAAGAAAGATGGGTCTTTTGCACAGATAAGAATTTCAGCAGTCATGCATCATCGTGGAGGTCTGACAAACACCACCTCTGTTGAATTTTTCTCATTCACACCACCAGTAAGTGTATAGGAAGCCCTGAGCTCCTTTCCATCCAGGCCCTCTAAAATGGACACGAATCTGATTATCAAAGGATCCAACTTCCAAGTAAGTATGTATAGGTTTACAACCTTACAGCATAAACTGAACATATTTAGACAGAAATTTTGCAGGTCAAGGGGACTTATTTGCAAGTAAATTTGGAAGTAAGTCATGTTGAACTCAGTGGGACTTGTTTCTAAGTAAATTTGCATTACAGACAAATTCAGACACTGAGGGAAACACCACTTTGCAGTTTACCACAACCAAAGAATAAATTTGCAGTCTTATAGCCCTGATTAGTAATTACCTGGAAGTTAAGTGCCATTAACTTTGATGCAACTTGCTTCTGAGTACCTTGAGGGCCGCTTACTCTGAAACAACTCCCTGGTAAGTTCAACAGAGCTTATTCTGAAGCAGAGGCCTACAGGATGACAGCCTCATGGGCTAGTCATATAAATGTTAACTAAGCAGTAAGACCTGTTGACTTTAGTGTGACTTTCTCCCACTTGAAGATCAGGTTATCCCCAAGGAGATTCCAGAGGGTCAGCTGTGTTTGCCAGAAGGAATGAAGGGAGAAGAGTCTGTAGCAGCCCTGGTTCAGTTCTGGGCTGGACCCAGACTTGAGAGGAGACACACGGACATCAACTGGGTTTAAGTTAGTCATAACTCTTATTTCATTTCAATGGTTCTGCTCTAAGCAGTCAGCCTCCTTGGAGGTGCAGTGGCCATCTGTCATGGATGATCTAGTTGAGATTCCTGCCTTGAAATTGGCGGAAATGACTGGCAGAATCCGAGACCAGGGAGAAGAGTCGGTGGAAGAAGATTGGAAGAAATTTAAAGACTACTTACAGAAATATTGTAAAATTAATGAATGTTAGAATGATGACAGATTGAAGTTAAGCGGTTTCTAGCGGTAATGGTATAAAAAAATATGGAAAAATTGGTTTTTAATATGTAAAAATTTAATGTTATAATTTATCAAGATTAAAGATTAGGATTAAAAAGGAGGGAAAGGAATTGCTGGATTAACATACTGAATTGGAATACAAAAGAGGGAGGTATGAGGTGGTCCAGGAAACAAGTACATGTAAAAGAAGTGAAGAAAAGATGGAATTGTTTTTAACTGTTTTTTCTTTTTTGTATTTTGTATTTTTCTTTTTTATTGTTAATTTTCTTATTAATGTGATTTTTCTTCTTTTGAAATTTTAATAAATATTATTAAAAATAAAAAAAAAGAGATTCCTGCCTTGAAGTGGGCTGGACTAGTGGGTTCCAATTCCACGATTCTGTGGTTCTGTAGGAAAGTCCCTAAGGAAGAGCGGAGCTGATTCCCCTCGCTCGTCTGCGCAGCAATTCCCAGGGGGGCGCATCCCGGGTTCAGGAAAAGCCTTTCCAAGAATATTGGCTCAACCCAAACGCACAGATGCCTTCGAAATGGTCGCGCTGCTGCTCCCAAGACGGGGGTGGCAAAGGCGGCGACCCCCCCCCCCCGCAAACCACCACCACCGCCTCTCGGTGAGGAAACCCAGTTCAGGTCCCGAGGCCTACGGAGGCCTACAGAGGAGTAAGCCCCGTGCCCTCGGTGGGCCTTCCTCCCCGGCCTCCATTCCTGCCCCGGGACTTGGGGCGGGAAGGTCCTCCGTCCAGGCAGGGCGGCCGCGGGGGAGGCTGCGCTCGCCCCCCGGAGGCGGAGGCGGAGGAGGAGGAGAGCGGGGCGCGCGGCTTTGGGGCGACCCTCGCTGCTCACCTGGCGTCTCCGGCTCCCCTACCTGGGCGAGGCGCGCCTTCCTCTGGCGCCGCTCCTTCCGCCTCTGGGCCTGGCCGGCCTCCCGGGCTGCAGGAACCGGCTGGGACGGGCCTCGTCCCTCGGGCAGGAGGAAGCCGCCTCGCCGCCCCCGGCCGGGAAAGGCCCTTCTGGGGAGGAGGCCCGGCAGCGCCGAAAGAAAGGGGGCGCCTCTTCACACCTCAGAGAGGACCAGACACCTCACGGAGGGGCCTCGCCGCAAAACCCTGGCCGCGCCCTGGGGAGACTTTGCAGGAGACTTGCTCGAAGCTGCTAGGGGCTCTTCTCTCCCCAACCACCCCCTCGATACCCTCCATGTCCTGGGTGCGCCTTGGTCGGGGCCAGGCTCCTTTGGGGACAACAGAATTTACAAGTTACTATACTTCTGACTCGCCATATGTTTTTTTTGAGACTACAACTCCCATCATTCCTGACCACTGGTCCTGTTAGCTAGGGATGATGGGAGTTGTAGTCCCAAAAACATCTGGAGGGCCCGGTTTGCCTATGCCTGGATTATTATGTAAGAAATGCTGCCTTGTTTTTAGGCGGGACAGTTTTGGTTCCAGGTTGTTAGGTACTCAGCCACTGCAGTTCACTGAGATGCCTTTTCTAAAAGGGTCGGTTTCTTTTTCCTGTATCAGCAGTTGTGTTTCCGGGGGTGGGGGGGAGCTGTTACAGGATACACTGGAGATGGGTCTGATGAACTAAGACTAAGGGGGCACTATGTATGATTAGCATGTTCTTAATACCAGAATGCCAACAAAGACTCCTTGCCAACAAAGGTCCGTAAAGTTAAAGCCAGTAGTGATGTATGGAAGTGAGAGCTGGACCATAAAGAAGGCTGATCGCCGAAGAATTGATGCTTTTGAATTATGGTGCTGGAGGAGACTCTGGAGAGTCCCATGGACTGCAAGAAGATCAAACCTCTCCATTCTGAAGGAAATCAGCCCTGAGTGCTCACTGGAAGCACAGATCCTGAAGCTGAGGCTCCAGTACTTTGGCCACCTCATGAGAAGAGAAGATTCCCTGGAAAAGACCCTGATGTTGGGAAAGATGGAAGGCACAAGGAGAAGGGGACGACAGAGGACGAGATGGTTGGACAGTGTTCTCGAAGCTACCAGCATGAGTTTGACCAAACTGCGGGAGACAGTGGAAGACAGGAGTGCCTGGCGTGCTCTGGTCCAGGGGGTCACGAAGAGTCAGACACAACTGAACAACTAAACAACAACAACAAAAAATATCAGAATGAAGTTTATCACAGGTGCACCAGCTGACCCCTCACAGGAAGGGACATGTTTAACATGTTTTGCTGAAAGAAAAATGGCCTCTGCACAGCCACATGCATACCAGCTTCCCAACCTATTCGTTCACAGCATCAAAGAACCAGGCTTTGAGCAAAGTTTCAGCCTTGGGGCCTGTAAGAATTGTAGAGTGTAATTTACTCTGTTAGGGGTGGCAAAGAGGGAAAGTATGACTCTCCAGAGAGGGAGTTTTACCCCCAGAGGTGTCTTGAAACAGAATAAATCAAATAAGCTGTGACATTTTTTAGAACTTGTTCTGCTGTGTGTGAGTTTTTTCAGCTGAGAAAAGTCTAGCAAAAGGGTGTATGAAATGCACAGGGGTAAGAATTTGCCTTATATAATCCACCATTTTGAAAAATCCCCTAGCTGCGTGCATAATAACAAAACACTTAAACATAGGGTGATTCTTATGCGTTGTCACAGCCAGCTCTCCAGGCTGAGGCCCATGAAGGAGAATTCAAGCAAATTGTCTCCACCCATGCCCCCTAGCACCATCAAGTGATAAAGTGCTTGTTGGACTCTGTCCATGAGTGTACATTGGATAGCAAGGCGCAGCGAAGCCACATGTGTGTCACATTCATGCTTTAGTTTATTTAATACCATTTTATATCTTCATAATATCACAGTGAAGTTTAACGCAACAAATACATTAAGGCAGAAACAAGTGCAGGTTCATGAAGCACTAAAAACTCAGCCATATGTGACCTTCGATGAGTTGACACCTCTCAGCTGAATGTGCCTCACTGGGATGGATGTCGTGAGGATAAAATGGGGAGGCCACTTAGAGCTCCTTAGAGAGAAGGTGCAATATAAAATATATAAATAAATACATAAATAAAAATGTACTTGTGAAAAGGCTTCTTTTCATTTCTATTGACTGAGTGCTGCCTTTTTGCTTCATAAACAGAAATGTTTATGAAGTTACATTTTACTAGATTTACTCAAGAAGAAAATTCTGCAGTAGCTAAACTTTAAAAAGGAAAAGCAACCCAATTATGCCCAGAGGGTGATGTCTCTTTCTTTTGTCACAAGTTTATTCCCCCCCCCCCAGACCCTCTTACCTATTACATACCCTGAGGAGAATTCTGAGTTCCTCTAAAACTTTGCAGCTTCATTTGCTTTAATTCCCTCAGATGAGCACACATGAGAAGATAAATCTATGTTGTGTTCTCAAAATAGGTTTTATGGGAAAGAATAGGGTAAGCAATAACAAGACAGTAACCCATCAGCAATCTATGCTGATCAATGTAGCCCAAAGCCAACCCCTGCCCGCTGCAAAAAAATAAAATTAAAAAGCATTGTGCTGGCTAAGGAAGGACCTTCCAACTTATCTCATGATTTGGCCAGGCCAGCAAGTGACAACAGTTCATTGCTCTTTGGGTCACTGCTGGGCTCATTTCATGGGACTTGTGCATGAAAATACCAATGATGTTTAATTAACTTTGCCTCCTATCTCATTCTTTGCACACAGTTAAGCTACAGAGAGAAACTGGTCTTTCTCCTCTCTGTGATCATATAAAATCTTAAGCACGTCATGTAAATGAGCAAAGGTTCCTGTCCAGCTGGTTTGGGAAATGGCAAGGATCCAAGAAGGCCTGCAAGGAGTGATAAAAGAAACTGATTGCAGCCGTCAAATGCAATGCTGTTCATCTTTCCTGCTGGCCCATCAAACAGTAAGTATCCTTTCTGAAAGAAAAGATAAACACAGAATGCTCATATTTTTCCTTTCCCTAAATAGACTTCTGCATGGGCTCACAGGCAGGCGCGCGCACACACACACACACACACACACACACACATCCCAGAATCCTGGCACGTGTTGTTATTTGAAGATCCTCAATTCAGGGGCTTTTTTTCCTCCTTGAGCAAAGGCAGCTGGTGAACTATAGGAAAAATATTTAAACTTTTCACAGAAAGGGCTTAATCCACAATCTGAAATTCACAGAAGCATTAAGTCATTATTCAAATGAAAAGCTGCATTTGCCCATTAACATATTTTCATCAACCAAAAAGCAAGATGCTGATACGAGGGATGATCTATGCATTCCTATTTATATGGTAATTGACTGGTTAGGGAGTTTTCTCTGTTATTTTCCTAGGATGTGCTACATGTCAATTAAAACAATGTTTTTAGCTACCGTTCTAATGAAAGCAGGCATCGTTAAGAAACCATTTCTTATGTGTAACCACTGATGGAGAAGTGGGGGACATCTAAAGTCAAGCATTTTGTGCAACCTTCATAACTATCAGCTTTTGACTTAACTATGAAGGAAAATGGCTAATTATTATTTTTGCCCGGTCAATGTTTTCTGCCTGTCAAATTTGCTGTAAATAAGCAGAAGAACATTGCCTCCCCTCCTCTGCATTTACATACTGAGAACATTTATTTCATTGAGGAACCCCCCCAACTCCCCCTCCCACAAATACAAACAAACCCCCCTCCTATCCAAGATGTAATAGTTCAGTGGCTTGAGTTCTTTTGCTGTTGTCAATCAGGCTTCATTTCAAGAGGGGAAACATCTTTTGAGAACAGATTTGCAAGTGAAATTCCATCATGTTCAAAGCTTTGCTTCAACTCATCATCATGCAAGAGATGAAACATAGCATCCAACATTAATTAAAATGGGCACATTTTATCAGTGTCATACTACTGAGGAATGTGGCTCAAGCATGACCAGGAGTGATGCGTGGCACAGGGCAAGGAGGATGCCTGGATCCTGCCTCTGAGTGCCCATCCAGGAGTTATTCAGAAAAGAAAGGGGTGGGGCACATATCAGGCACATGTCGTCTTCCAGAACTTCTCTGCTCTTGGAAGCCACAGTCTTTTCCTCCTCTTTGCTTCATATGTGGGTACATGTTTCTCTCCTATTCTGCATGTATTTTTTTCTAAATAAATAGATGCTACAATAAAACACTACATGTTTCTAGAACACTCTTCACCTAGGGAAATTAGAATTAAGTTCTTTTAACTTCACTTAAATAAACAAGACAGAATTATATTATAACTTCTTGTAATGTGGATGAGGTTTCCTATAGTTCATGCTGAAATATGTGCTTAATATGTGAGCCCCAAAGCAGACTAGAAACCCCACTCAATTCTATGTCTGTCACCTTGCAACAATAAATGAAGCACTCCATTTCTAGGTGGAAAGGTACTGGTACATGTTTTTAATAAAAACCATCACCATTTAAACTTAAAGTACTGATCAATTACATTTCTTGCTGCATTGCCACATATCCAAAACATTATGGCCTGATTTCCATATGCATGCATGTCACTTGATATGGGCAAGATGAGGCCATACAAAAGTTCTGTCTGTGATGTAATATCTATGACAGCCCATTCATATGTGCAGATCATCATAAATGCTGAAATCATCCAAATATGACCAGCTGTGAGCTATATAGGCCTTGCTATAATGCTACAGCGACCAATCATTTTAAGAGTCACAGCATTTATCTTCCCATGCAATGTAAACAAGTCTAGTCACTTCCAGCACAGGCGGTGTTTTGATAGACACAGAAATTTAACCCCAAGAGTTAGGTTAAGGTTTATGCTGTCTTGATATGCATTCTGTCAAATTCCAAGGTGTAGTTGGAAACCAAAATTACTTTAAGTGCTGCTTATTGAGTTTAAACACTGTTCTGTAGACTGGTTTTTTTACTATCCTCATTGCAGCGATGAATGCTGAACAGAAAAACTGACAAGCAGATGAAAAGACTAACAGAACCTAGGAGTCAGTGAAAGCAAGCTGGTAATTGATGGTCTGATAGAGTAGTCCAGGCTGTTAATAGGAACTGCAATCACAACAAATTGGCTTTGTGACCAGCCAAAAATAATCTGCTGGTCTCAGCAAAGCAAGCTCATTGAATTTCCCTCCACACGCCTAGGAACTCGTGCCAAACACAAGTATACATACCAAGAATTGTGGGTGGTTGTTAAAGAAAGTGCAGAGCTGCAAATCTTGCACACTTATGAGGAAATTATGCCTTTCGCTAAGGTTGTCACCTTTTGTTTCTGGCAGGTTTTGTGCCCTAAAGTGCTGCACATCTGACAGAAATTCAGTAGCTGCAGATTTCCCTGCAGGGATATGCAGGGATGGGGAAAGTTTTATTTGTTGAATTTCTGCCTGTTGGAACTGCATACTCTACCCTGCCAGAGAGAGAGGTGGTAGTCCCATTCCATTGCACTAAACAGACAACTACTCATTGTGTAACAAGAGCTACTTGGCTAGGAAAAAAAACAACACCCTGTGGGAATAGAATGGACAGCGGTTGACAAAAGGTCTGGATGTATGCTGGAAATCTTCAAGAGGGATATAAGTGGCATTCCATGGTAGACAGGAAATGGGACTTGTTTTAGTCTGTGGAAGGTGCCATAAACCAGTCTTCTCCAACCTGGTGCTCCCAGATGTTTTGGATGACAGCTCCCACCAGCCCCAGCTAGCATAGCCACTGATCAGAAATGATGCAAGTTGCAGTCTAAAACATCTGGAAGTCACCAGGTTGCTGTAGATAGGGCAGTGGGAAATGCTTAGCTACACTTTGATGTGCTCAGCAGCTGGATGGCATCCAAAACTTGTGGTTTGCCTAAACCACAAGTACCAATTATCAAATATCCAACTGGGAATGGCTGTTTGATGGCAAACATACTGTTTCCTGAGACTTCCCCAGTGGAAGGAGAAACAATCATGAATGAAAATGAACAGTAGGTTATGACTGTAGCATTATCTTTGCTGCCAACTCTGCTTTGTGATGCCATTCAGTCTGCTTGTTGATTTAGAGCAGTTTCTTCATTTATCACCAGCAAAGTGCTGTTCACCCTGTTGAGAAGTAACTTGTGCTATTTATGCAAGAATGCAAATGTAGACAGGAACTATTTATCAAGCCAAAATATTAGCTTTGTTTGGGACCATGGGAGTTAGATATTAGCCACACAACTGTAATTGCAAAAACCCACTGAAGAGCCTGTCTTTTTGAAATGATTGATGTTCATCATAAACCATAAACCAGCAGCTTGAGAAAGCTGGACCAAACCAGACACAGTCAGGTAGCAGCAAGAGAGGAGCATTGAGGGAGTGGTAACTGCAGCAACAGGGTTTGCCATCCACTCGGGGCATAGGTGGGGCTGTGACTCCCCATTCTCCATTCCTTCCTGAAAATGGCTCTCACCTAAATCTAGCTGCTGCTGAATACCATAAACCAGGAGCTACAGTTCAACAATATCTGGAGGGACACAGATTAGCCCCCCGTGTCTTGAACTGAAAGTGTGCATTGGGGTAGTGAAGGTGTACTAAGCACTGTTCAAGGCAAGAGGAAGGCTGCTCTGGGTTCACATCCAGGGCTTGGCTGAGATTTGTGGGCCTGCAAAGGGATAGATCTTCACTGGGACCTCTCATTGAGCCGGCGGTTTGAAATACAGTGTCATAAAGAACAACTATGGGCCACCTAGAACCAAGGTTCTTGCAAAAAATGTTGAGTAGACCTTGGTCGGATCGATGAAGGCACTCCTTGTGTTCTTGAACACATACTCAGGATCTCTTAGCACTTTGTAATTGTGTCTTTAGCTCTGAGAAATCCTGATTATTCACTCTTGCTTTGCAAATTCAAAACATACAAGTAGACCACAGAAGAATTCTAGTAAAACCAAAAGCCACCACTAACTTAACACACCAACTGAGATATCTTTTGATGGTACTTTCATTGCACAAACTATTGTGTTCACTGGCAGCTCTTTCAGCTACAGGAGAGAATGAGCTGGCTTTGAATACGAACTTCCCAGGCTGAAGCACAGCAGAGGAGGGACACTGGCAGTTCAGCTGCAATTACCTTGCCTGCACTATCTTTGTGCTGTAGATAAAATAGCTCAGTCTCCAGGGAGTCTTCAATTTTTATACTTCTCCAGCATTACATTCGCTCTAAGAAAGAAAGCAAAGCACGATATACCCTTCTTTCCCATGAGATCACCTTCTGCCAGCACACTCCTGGATGCTATTTTGCTAATAAAATGCTTAGACAATCGTTCTCTCCCAGACCATTCTTGAGCCAGGCTATTCCTCAGTCATGTTTTGATATACACTCATTTCATCCAAAAGGAAGCTGTACACCAGGGATCCAGCCTGCACAATGAGACCATCACACATAGTTTGCTGACAGAGACAGAAGAGGACACAAAAATCATGTGCAGCTTTACACATCTCATCTCACTTTTTGCATTGCTTCATCCTGACAGCATTGCTATGCGCAACCAACTTCAAATGGTTCCACAGTTGCAACTTTCACCTGGGTTTGGTTTCCTTTGGAAAGGGGTCACTGGAGGCTTATGGCATTTTGTAAAAATATGACTTTATTGACAAATAGGCAAGTTGAGCATAAACTTAAACAAACCAAAAGACAGCCTAATCTACTGTTCCACTTCAGATTACAGGTATCCCCAGCCATCTTCTCTCTCCAAAACTGTACTTTTTGTCAGGAGCTCAGCCTACCCTCGAGAAGGACCCTGGCAGAGACACATGCCTGACTGGCATGTTCTCTTCCTCCTGGTCTTTCGTCCGGGAGCTTCAAAAACTTTCTTCTGCCTGAACATCACAGCGACCGATGCCAACAGACACCAGCACACTTAGGGATCCGCAGAGTCTTCACAGCTTGTGTGACAGACCTCAGCAACTCAGCATTTTGGCTAATCTACTTTATTTAAATATAAACACACACGGAGCACTGCAACATGGCTCCCTCTCTCTAGCACCAGACAGCAAAGAGAAAGAACAAAGGA